GCAGGAATGAGAGCATATTTTTATTTATATATTACACTATTTACATTTAAGAAATGTTAGTATGCAATCACTATTGCAAAAATAATGAATTATTTTCCCTTCAACCCTTGGAATCCAGCATAAAATTCTATGATACAACTCTATTGTCTGACAATACAATTCTACATTTTCAAATGGATAACGTAGATTTTAAAGTTGCCATTTCAGTGTTTTTAAATTACTTGTCATTAAGGCAATTCACTTAATTAGAATACATGATTAGACAAAGAAAATGGAGATTGGGTAAACACAGTGGAGTTCTTTTCCAAGACAGAGGAAAAGTGCACTGACTTTGGTCTTCAACTTGTCTAGCATAACAAATTAATAACAAAAGAAGAACTGTAAGGCTACTTGCAAGCAAAATGTTCTTGATATGAGATATTAAGGATTTTTTAAAATTTTTTTTTTTACCTTGCTTAATCACAGTAGGTAAAGTCTTTAACATTAGGGGTGAGCTTTGTGCTCTGTTCTTAAATAAGCAGGTAAACTAACTCCAAACGTAAGGTTGTTATGTGTTAGGGCACCATCCCCATGGGGAAAAAAGGCTACCTGAAGATTTCATACCTCAAAGCTGGTTAGTAGTAAATAACCTTATTTCTTCAAATATAGGCACCATTCCATACCAACACAACACCACTTTGTGAATGATGTCAGAATTTCATCAGTCAAGAAGTGCCTACCAAAGTAGGCACTACCATCTTTGGTAGATGCCCTACCAAAGTTCTGGATGCTGAAGTGCATGTACCGTCAAAAGACCAAGTGGTCTCAAGCAAACATGCAAAATGGCAACATTGAGTAGCTTGGCTACCAATATCACTTGATCACTGGCATGATGGACTCAGCCCATCACTGGAAAACCTTCAAGGTTTTTTAACAGTGGATGGACATTGCAGGTGGTTATCAGAACTCCTGGATCTTCAGTGGAGAAAAGTATTACATTGGGAGAACTGCAAAAAGGACCTGGACTTGCAGAATTAAAAAGAAAGGGGCCTCCAGACACCTAGGCTATGAAATACAGAGTCAGTCCATGTGGCATGAGGCTTTGGAAAGAATATTACAACAATAATCTCAGGTTTTAAAAAAAAAAAAAAACAACAAAAAAACCGCAAAACAACCAAAAAACCCCCAACAATAAAAAACCCAACCAAAACCACTGATCCCTTCAGGACAAGCTTAACTCCAGAGAGTCAGAAAGCAAATACTACATGGAATGCCAGCCATGAACACCCAAATTTCAAGGTGAAGTGATCACAGGAGGTAAGAAAAAAATTGAACCAACAATCCAATGAGAGGGTCCACAAGCACCTGATGTGTAATATTTAAAAACCTACTGAGGAACCAGCTCACAGACTGGAGGATATGTTCAAAAAAATCAACCCTTCAGGAGCCTATAAAAACAGAGTTATCAACTGAAAGTGACCACTGACATCAACCAGGTGGGAGTTCTTTCAGAAATACTTAGAATGTCTCTCAGCTTCAAGAAAGCTTTCAAACTTCTTAAGCAAACACTGACTATTCCAAGATAGTCAAGAATGAAGTGCTCAAATAGGAAGACAAAACAGAAAGCATACTATGCTGGGGACAGGGCCAGGTGGCAGCAGAAATCAACTGATTAAGAGAATGTTATTTCCCTGTAGGAAAAGGTGAGATGGATTGGAGTAGATGAACTGTACAGAAACTAATTTCATCCCTAGTTCCAATGACTATCTGAAGAGTAGAAGCAGGACCTTACTCCCTTTTGCCTGTAACATACTACACAATGGCAGAGTTGTGACTACCCATACGTGTGTTCAAAGGTGAAGCAAGTGTTTTATGTACATTTCGTACCTCCAGAATCTTTCATATAGAAGAACTTCAAGGAAGAACAACGCTGAGCCACCTCACGATCTGAGTGAGCCCCAACCTACAGACTGTTCAGACAGGAACAACAAAGGGCAGGCCAGTGCAGATGGTGGGAGAGACAGGACAATTGCTTTTTCTTTGGAATCATCAAGAAGATTCTAGGGAGCATAATTTGGGTTGAGAAATCTTCGAGGAAATGGTGGACTTCAGTATTCCTTAATCTGAAAGTTTCCTTTGAAAGAGGTACCCTCAACAAACATCTGGATTGTCTTAGAGAGTTCTGGATGCATCAGTGAACAGCTGATGCAATCCAACAGGAAGATGCATCTTTTGTATCTAGATGTTCAGAGTGAAGAATAGTACTTCAGGCTGTTCACTCCTCTGCCACTAAGGCTGACAAAGAACAAGTAAGATTTTCTTTACAGTATCAAACTTTCCTTTGATATCACCAGATGAAACAGTAAAGAAAAAAATAAAGTCTCTTTTCAACAGTGTTGTTGCTTCCAAATTTGGGAGCAAACCTCATTAGACCACCATGACATAGGAAGAGGGGAGTGTGAGGTCAACATGCAAGGAAATATACTTTTCATTCCTAGCCATGCAGAAGCATGAACCCACACTTCACTGAAGGGTAAAAAGAAGCCTGCAGTTGCCAAGAAACGTTGGCAAGCTCAACTGTTAGCAAAGGTCTTGAAAGGCCAAGAGTAACAGAAACTATCCATTAAGACGAGGAAGAAAATGAAACCTGTTTTAAGTCTTTTCACAAGAAGATGAAAAAAAAACAAATCCTGCAGGTTCAGTAGTCTTCTCTGTATGATCCTGATCAGATACCTGGGTGAGTAGGGACAGTAAGAACTGGCTACTGCTTATTTCTCACCTGCACTTGTCTCTGATTCTGGTCTTGCAGTTTTAGGTTGTTTGTTTTGGTGTCTTATCAGCTTCCTCATATCCTGTTTGGTGAATTTCCTTTCTGGTCATCCTGAGCTGGAATTCGCTTGTATATTTACAAATTAACCAATGTACAATTCATACTGCCAAAACTACATATCAAAACCAAATGGAGTGTCTCCACTTCCCAGGATATTGATGAGTATCTATTACCTGACTGAAGTATTTTCTCGAGTATTTTTAATTCTTTTGGGTTACTCATCTGAGCTCTTACAATAAGTTTTCCAAGTTTTGCCAAGTGTGTTGTTTTATTGCTGTTTTATTTTAAAAGGAATATTGTTATTACTTACTAGCACAGAAATCCTGATTTGCACACAATTCTTTCAATTAAGCTATTTATGGCTGGTTATGGCCAACCAACCAGCTAGCTGCTCATTGTGAGCTGTTACATTCTAACCTGCAAGACACTTAATGAAAAATAACATACAGTAAGGAAATGAAGTGGTTCTTAGAATAAACACATCTGATCCGACAGTGCATATACTGAAAATCTGCAATGTGGGACTTGAAAACCTCTTTTTCTGTGCAGTGTCTATAAATGGTGTACATTAGGCTGCTCCTCACCTCCTTGCACTGCATGTAAGCAGGAGCAGGTCTACTGCCATTTCAGTTCCTCTCAACCACATTACTTAATAAGAATGTTCCTCATTGCTTGGTTTTTCACTGTAGTTCTTGTTGTGTATTTTTTGCTTTTCCCAGATTTTGCTGCCTTTGCCAAAAGCCTCCTTATTCTTGCAATACTTGCCAGTGCAAGATTTTGCCTCTAAGTGATTTGACATTCCGGGCTTGCAGTTTGCCAGTCACATGCTTAAGAAACTACCCTCACTGCCCCTTCCTTCAGGCTTCAGTTCTTGTTTAAGTAAGCTACAAAGATCTCCTACCCCTAAACATATACACTGCTCCTGTTGCCAGATCATACACAGGAGTGCTTGGCCCTGACTTCATTGTCTACAACAGCATGTGGAGGGTAACTCCTGGGAAGACTGGCTAAGAAGATGCCTACCAAGGACCCATCTCCCTCTGTGTGCCTCTAGACTTAACCATTTGATCTGAGATTTCCCTGGTCCATACAGCTGCTGTGGGGTCTTGCACAGCCAGTGACAAAATAAGAAAATTCTCTTCTGTGTAGCTCCATGTGGTCAGATATTCCAGATGTCCTCCTCTCCTTCTCCAGTAGTCTTAATTCATCAAATAGCAGCCTTAGCACCATCCTTGCCATTGATACTTGTGCCAGTCTACCATTCAACTTCATGTCAACAGGCCAACTTGAGCATTTGCTTGCTCTCGCTATTTTTGGAGCCTCTTAGAAAGGTCAGTGCTGAAGTGTCCACCCAGTGGATCTGTACCCCCTGATCTGCACTCAGTTGTGCTGGTACAGTCATCTCCACACTAGAAGATGGATTCCCCTTGGCAGCAGGATATCTCCTCATGTAAAGCTGTATGGTGTAGAGAGTTTTCTTCTGACTCCTTGTCAGATTCTGACTAACGCATCAGCAAGATCAGCATGCAGTAGCATTACCATGCTATTCCTGGTGCTCCCTTCTCCTGTCACTCTCCCACAAAGGAGACATATTATCTTAGCATGCTTCCGCTTACTCGTCTTCCTGTTACCTGGAGTTGTACTGCATCTTGGAGCTTTAGGGTTCTGTAATTAAAGATTACAGCTCAAAATCAGGAGTTTTCTCACAGCTTTCTCAAGTTCTCATTTGTAGATGTGCGTTTTTTTCAGCCCTTGACAGTGTATCAGCTTCACAGATCAATGGATTACCTAAACAAGATAATACCACAGCATTCTACTCATGGTTTTGGCAGCTGCCACCTTCTTGAGGCAGTGATCCTGAATGCACAGGAAGGCAGCTGTCTTGTTTCTCATCATTCTGAGATCCCATACATAGATGTATAACTTACGCTCTGCAGAAAACCACAAGCCTTGAACTCTTGCATTACTGGAGTGACCTGCTCAAGCAAGAATAAATGCATCTGTCAAAACTTATACAGAACGCTGAGCTACCCGAAACAAATACTGTAACAGATACACTTTGTAGATCCTGCCATTTCGCAAGACTGCTGAGATAAAAGATCATCAAGAGCAGTCAAGGAAGTAAGTTCATAAAGCTTTACAAATTGCAGATTGCTGCTCATGTAAAGAGAGATATGTTAATGCAGGGAGAAAATAATTTATCTTGAAGACTAGATAAATGAAATCCAGTAATTCAGTGTGCAAAGTCATTGACTTGAGGACTAACAAAAACTTTTGCTTTAAGCTGTGAATCAGTAAGAGTAGCCTGTGTGTATTAGTTTATCATGAGTTACCAACATAAAGTGACTACAAAGGAAATGCAAGTAAAATCGCAGCATGACTGAGAAGAGATATTTTCATAGAGAAGTGTGGAAGCATTAAGGCTACTTTTCAAGGTATCTGTTAGACCATCTGGAATATAGCACATGATTCTGGTCAGTTCTCTTCATGAAAGATGAACGCTGCACTATGGGTAGAGAATGACTGACAGGAAGGTGACATTGGATTGTACTCCAAAAAAAGAGAGGGGACTACACACATGACACATGATATTCAACACAGTAAGAAAGTGAAAATGTGTGCTTTGTTTTCTGAAAGAGGTAGAGCAAAACATATTCTATATATACTTAAAAGAATAGTCCTTATAAAAGACCACTTTTAGGTGCAAATACTAATAAAACAGTACCTCCACAATGAAAACATTCAGCTCTTATCTTGCAGTAGGCTAATCGGTTGGAAGTAAAGCAAGAGGTGATTTACTCAAATTCTGTGTGGCTATTTATGTAAAATTTTCACTTATCTCAATACATCAGCAAATTAAATACAGGATTTTCAAGTAGAAAACATCCTCACAAAAATATGAAATTTACGTATCATTAGGATAGTCAAGCAAGAGCAAAACAGATTCAGCTCTTCTAAAAACTTAGAGCTGGTAAAAACTAGTGTCATGCCTACAAACACACACAAGAGTAAAAACTTCTTAGATGACACTTATCATTTAAGCATCTTTTTAAAAACGTGTCTGACCCCTCCCTGTCATTCCAGATTGTGTAGTATTTATGAGTGTGATGCTTTTGATATTACCTTGACTTTCTATTGCCTCATTTTCAGATGTTTCAGTCTAGCAGCCTTCTTTGCAGTCAGCACTGGCATAGGCTTAGCTCTGCATCGATCAAGTGTTTTATTAATTCCATTTCTTTATGTTTAAAGTAAAAGCAGTAAGGCAAAAAAATAAATGAGACTGGTAGAGGGAAATTATGTCAGGCTATGAGAGCATATTTCATTACTTAGCTATCACTTTTGTCTTTGTCTTGAAAAGTTTACAAGGAGCACCGAGATGGGGGTTGGTTGTGTATGAAAGCAGTGGAGACGTGAGAAGTACAGGTACTGATTTGTACTGAGAAGAATGGTGGAAAATGATGTTCCCATTCTACATCTGGTCCTGTTAGAGAACAAAGCAACCCGTCAAGCACTTTTTATTTTTCAGGTTCTCATTTTGGAGGTCTTGAAGTGCACATAACCTCCTTTGCCTCAATTATCACTTATTGCCAAGGCTGGAGAGAAGAGTAAACATGGGCATTTTTACAGGAGTAAATAGAACTATTCTGCATTTCCCATCTTGCTCTCAACACTATTTACCTATGACACCTGTCATCATTGCAACACATACCTCGCATCTTCTTTTAAAAGGTCACTGTACTTTGGTCCAGAAGAACGGATGTTAAAAGGATCAGAATTATCATCTATTTCAAGAGCCTCAGCAAGACGCCTAAATTTGAGGGTAGGAGGGAAAAAACAAAACATAACAAAAACACAACCAAACAAAAATAAACACAAAACCCTCCCCAGCCTCCCAAACGTGCTGTCACTGAAAAGTAAAGATACAGGTTACTAACACAGAAGAACAGCTCGCAAAAAATACAGTCCGTCCATTCAAAACTACTCATTTAGAACTTTTCACTACAATAGTCTAGTAAGATCTCAGATCACTCAATATAGATCCCTGTAACACACGAATCATCTCCACATTTATCAGTTCTCTAGGTCATGCAGGAAAGGTTTTTTTGTTTGTTTTTTTTTTTAAACACACACAGAGCATTAACTTTCTGAACCTGGACTACTTCTGAAAAAAAGCAAGCAAGTTCATTGCCCACCTGTTCCTCTGAAGAGCTAAGCATTCTTCATCACATTGCAACCTGAATTATGAAAGAAAAATACAATTAGAATCACTGCTGCTACTCATACTTTTCAAACTGAAGCTTTGTTGGTGTCATACCATTATCACAGCCTAAAGAAGTAAGAAGAGTGTGTGAGAATAGTTTATCGTATTAGATCAGATAATACAGCTAAAAACCAACAAACAAACAACAATTAAAGATCTTTGAGCACACAAGCCCTTCTCCAGGTCCTGAACAGAAGCAGCAATTACCAAAGCCATATAGAAGCTAAGAAAAACAGCTTCTAAATTAGATTTTATTATATTGGTAGATTTGAGAAAAAAATGCAGTTGATATCAGCATTGAGGGGATTCTAGGAAGGATGGGAAATTAGATAAGGAAGATGTGACAAGGTCACTTACTCCTATGCATCAGAAAAAGGTATCAGCCAGGGAAAACAGGAGTTAGCTATGCGTATGGAGGATTACGATGCACCATAAAAATCAGTATTTCAACTGAGCCTGTAACTTCTAGTGTCCGTAGAGTTATGAATTTCAGTTTTCTGTCTCATCTTTGAAAAGTACTTCATAATTTAATTTTAAGGGATTAAAATGTCAGAGAAGGATCAAGAGTTCTCCAGAATTTCACAGTGGCAGTTACAAACTTCTGCCCCTTAGACCGCATAAGTGAATTGATTCTGTTGATTTCGAACAAGTAATTTCTACAGGGGAAAGTGGTTCATTCAGTGACATGTATTATGTTTGGAGACACACAGCTATAGGATCCAGAACTTCCGGTGGTTTTCTCGAAGGAGGCAGAAGAAAGCTAACATACTTGCACTCCAAGATCAACCTGGTACTGTTTAAAGTAATCTGCTTGAAGAATCATTTTCTCCTCCTCTGAAAGAGTAACGTAGCCAACTTAGAGAAGCTACTCTAGGACTGACCAAATTTGTCACAAAAAACCAACCCCAAACCCTTATAAGGAAACCAAACTAAAGTATGAAATGTCTACAGACAAGACCAGAGAAACAAAGAAACGAAGTCTCTGCACAGTTTGCATACAATATTCTGCTACTGTAAATGAATGAAGCAGATTTCTAAGTTACTTTGAAAATACTGGAGTTTGACAATAAACTAGAAATTCAAGAATAAATATTTTATGTGCCACCATCTCTTTTCCCCTCCACCCCAGAATTTCATAGATTAAAAGAGTGGGGAAGGGAGAATACCTCCCTCTGACTGTCCTTGAATAAAGACTACCTGCCACAGTTCAGATATCATATTAGGAAAGATGTGCACAAAGAAAAGTCATCTCTGGTAATTTCAGCTATTCAAGGAAAGGGCAGTATAAGTCTGCCCACACAGAAAGATGTGCAGCAGTGGCTACAACACAATTTATATTACACACTGCAAAGGCTGGGACACCAACAGAGACACTGGTGTCTTATTTGCTCTCCTGGCAAGTATACCGCTGTTATAACAGACTTGCAGCTTCAAAAGCTGAAAAAGTCATCCCCTCTTCTTCTACGACCCCACACCCCCATGCTCCTCTCCGAGTTCTAGCACTGTCAAATGGTTGCTTTCTTTAAACAGTGACTTTTTTTGAAGAAGCTGAAGTTGGCTTCATATTGTTGAGTATATTTGTATCTGGTTGGCATTGTGATACAAATAGGAACAAAGTAGTTGAGGCTCAATCTGTGTAAAGCAGAGATTATTCTACAGTAATTCTAAAGAGAAAAATCAATGCTTATATTGTACATTTTCGAGTATTCAATTAATTGAAACAAACAGGGTAGGCTAAAAAAGGACACAATTACTGTTTTCTATTTGTGTCTTTCTTATACCATGCCTATACAGCACTCATATCACACTCTTTGAAGTTGCACACAGGAATCAGTACGGCTCTCCCTCTTTCACCTTGCTTTTCCCCCCCACTTTCTTCTGATGTATGACACTGGCCCAACTAGAAGAAAGCTGGAGACTGGGATGAGCAGGTGTTCCCATGCGCCATTTCTGCTGTTAGTTCATCTTGCCCGTACATTCAGAATTAAAGTTATTTCAGTGTAGAAAATTATCCAAAAGGACTTGGTAATAATGTGCTCCAATTTCACAGACATCAAACAAATAAACAGAACAGAATGACTAGGAAAATTTCTTGAAGTATGCTGGTATAAGCTTCTGATACAGGAAGCCATGAAGCAACTGTATAGGAAATTTCACTATTTTGACTTTACACAATATAAAGGAATATTAGATTTTAACACACATAACAGACTGACTCTGAAATAATCAAATTCACAATTAAGAGAGGAGAGATGGTAAAAGAAAATAAACTAAAAACAGAAATTAGGGACTTCAAGGGCAAAGACTTCAGGAAGTCAAGTTTCTGACAGAAGGATGTTGGAGAAACTTAACAATTCCTTAAAGAAATGATACTAAAAAGACAAGCTATTCCAATCCTGAGGAACATCAGGAGGAACAGAAAATCACCAAACTTAAGTCATAAGTGTTTTTGTGACTTAAAAGCAGATTTGCAGTGCCAGCCAGTATGAGAACATAAAAGTGCAAATCAAATTGAGATACAAATATAAGAAATCTAAAAAGGGTAATAGAAAAATATTATTAATAGTAAGATGATGACTAGGGGAAAATACACCCTATTAATCATCCAGGAAGGAATGCTGGATGCTGAAACAGAAGATAATAGCAAAAAGTTATACTGTCTAGAAATCTGAAAAAATCCAGAGGAACTCTAAGGAGTTTGCTGGGTAGAAAGAAACTCTGAAACCACAATTATACTGTGCCATACTTAATTATAACAACAAACCAGCCAATGGTAGAGAACTCATTCTACATGAAAGCAAAAATACAAACCGCTAAGGAACTGCAAAATACTCTTTTAGCAGTACTGTTACAGTAGGGTCAAGCTATTTAAAGTCTTCCTATTTTAGCTGGGATTTTGCTCACAATATTATGTATTTTCCACATCACCTATGTTTCAGGTACACACAAGGGTTTCAAACATGTTTCTACATGTATCTCCTTACCTGGCCTGCTTCATTTCTTTTTTCGTAATAAGCCTACTGATTTCCACCGAATCCCCAAGCTGTAGATCTGTTAACTTAGTGGCTATAGATATAGCAGCTATTCTGGAAAAGAAGAGCGTTAGACTTCATTTGAGGCAACACAAACTTCTGAAAAGGTGTATAAAGCTGCAGATTTAAACCTCCAGGTGAAAGTAGTAAGACAGACTGACTGTTTACTCATCCGATTACAGAATGGGACTCTAGTCCCATATCACCTAGTTTTAGGAGTCTAATCTAGCTACGTAAATTAAGAGGTTACTCACTCTCATCTCCCTCAAGCAACTAGGAGCAAGACTAACAATGGACATGCTTCTTCAGGGAATTTTTCAGAGCATCAATTCTAAGCAAGTCTAAACTAGGCAATGCAAATACTCTTTCTTCTCACCTGCTTAATATTCAAACTACAGCTGACCATATAGCTTTAATTGTCTTTTTAAATTTTAATGTGATTAAATTGTGTGCAACTAAAACTTGTAAAGTGAATTTATAAAGTACTTAGAAATTTGCTTAGAAAATACGGATGATACAAGCCATAAGGAAAGAGCAAAATGCCTACTGAGACTGTTACAATTTTCTTTATAAAGATTCTTCATCATTCCCTTCAATATCAAGCCTTCCCAGTCTGATTTTCTGGCTAAAATTTCTGTAACTAAAATATACAGCAAGTTTTTAGTGAAATATCCCACACCATTCTCAAACAAAATCCTGCAAATGGAACATTCTATCCTCTGAACCATCTTTTCTGTTAAATTCAGAAAAAAGGATATGTTTGTCTCTATGTTTTGCATCACATTCAGAGAACTAATCATCTATCAGGAAGGAGGATAATCATACTACATAAAACCAAAAAGCACTGAGAGGCATCATCAGCTTCATATTTACCAGGTGGTGACAGAGTCTAGGTAATGGGCCATTAGATGACATGACATCACCATTTGTATCATGTGTACAGATATAGCAGCACACTCCCTTTCCTGTTCCCTTGAGCATTCTTTCACTGACATTCACTGGCAAAGCTCAAAGCTGTTTCATCATGCCTGTATCTTTTGAGAGAACTTGGATACCCCATTAACTTGCTGACCCTTCCACAGTAGTACTACGAGAGTTACTTTGTTGTGTTTGGGTTTTGTTTTTTTTTTTTTTTTTTTTGGGGCGGGGGGTGGTGGTATTATTATTTTTTTCTCCCCAAGTGTGTAGATAGTGGGGAAAAAAGCCAAACCTAACTCCCTCAAAATCAGAATATTTTAATCTTTCAGCAACCTGAACAGTTGGAGTTATCATACAAACTTATCTGGCATTAAATGCTGCTTTTGTTAATATCACATGGGCCAAGAGTAATTTGTAAACATATATGAACACATTTGAACAAACAGATACAAACACTTGCTTTAAACTGATTGTTTCTTCCCCTTCCTCTTGACTTGGGCTCTGATAAAAGCTCTAGATAAAAACATACATGTGTTCAGCTTATGCATGCAAGAACTCTCACTGACTTCAAAGAACCATTTTCCTCATACAAATATTTTTGCAGTGCCTGAGCTATAAACAGTGCAGAAATAACAGCCTTCAAAAATCTGGACTTGTAATTAATGATAAGCTGGGAAGGTAATGTAATGACAAATGTGTCAATTTAAACTGGTATTTCAAAGTTGAGTCAGTCTTCTGATTTGTATTCATAGTGAGATAGATCTTAACAAACCCCCCCCTTTTTTTCTAAAAAAGAAAAAATGATCACCACTCCCCTAAGTCTATCTTGCATTCAACTTAGTATTAACTACAATTGTTCTTAACTGTTTCCAATTCACACATTTTTCTCCTTGTTTCCATTAGGTAGTATTAAGCACCTATTACATAGATGCTAAGCCATCTTCTTGTCAGAATTTGAATCTGGGCAGTGTTCAGTAGCAACAAAGCAGCATATCCTAAGATGGACTAGTATTGGACCCTCAAATACCAGTTCCAAATAAAACAATCATTATGAAGCTTCCTTTGAAATACAGGAAGAATCTGGGACTGTGCTTTCCTATCAACTGGGATGCAGAGCAGAACTCTGGTTGCATATCAACTCTCTAGATTAATTTTTTGACTCCCTCTCAATCACAGCCTCAGAGTAAGATTTTTTATTATTATTATTACTGTTTTGCTATTTTCATTTCAAAAGTTCCAAAGCCCTACTTTTCTTCTTTTCCTTGTCCCTTCCTTGCCCTCTCTTGTAAGAGAGAAATAAATTTAGAAATAGGATCTGGAGACAAATCTACCGCAATAAATGGAGTTGGGTAGGACTCAGTTTGCATATAAAGAACCAAGATTTAGATGCCAAACCTCTTCGGCCTAAATTTAGCTATTTCAGAATGACTTTAAATCACTCTTTAGCTTCCATCATCTGTATTGACTAAGTTCCATCACACATTAAGGGAAACTTAGACAGCAACTCACACATGGACTGCTATATGTAATCACCTACATTCAGGAGCCTGACTCTGGACCTGCCCAGTTAGTCCGTATCTAATTGCTCTATGTGGGTAGAGCAGAGTTCCACAGATGGGAGATTCAAGCTTTGGCACAGCACCGCAGACTAAAAACAGTAAAAAGAGGAGTGTGTTCTAGTACAGCATAGCTGGTATGAAAGCTCAGGGGAATAAAAAAAAAAAAAAAGAAACTTTATGTGAAAGTACAAAAAAAGTGTGGAAAAGCTTGTGAATTAAATATATTTAGTCAAGCCTGAAATTTAATCAAACTGCAAAGAAGTCCAGTAAGGAATTAAAAGAATTATTACAGTACAAACCTTTGATATGTATTAGATGCTTCTGAGCAAATCATACTCTCCTTTCTTCTTCCACATTCACATTGAAGATCAACCTGTTGTATCACACGTGAGAGCAGCTTTTTTAAACTTTTGTCTTTTTATGGCCATGGAGGGGTGTGAGGGAGGTAAATTTATTCCTTTAAGAAGTCCCATTTTAGTGGAATAATGGCTAATTAAAAGTGATGAATAGTTTTTTTAAAAAAATTCAATATTGTAAGTTTATGGAAAAAATGTCATGCTATCAATATACAAACATCATTTTTTTGTCACAACTGTTATTGGCTGATAATTAAGCCATACAATTTGCCTGTGAATTTGCAGTGAATTTTCTTTGGGTATCTAACCTTTGCACAGCAGGATGTTGTCGGGCAGGGTGAAGAAGGATGACATGGAGCCATACAGGGATGATTACAATATAGCCTTGGAATAATACATGGCTGTTTACACTCTTCATCTATAAGACATTCTCCTTTATGACAGATTCTTTTACATTTGTGCATTCCACATTTTAACATTTGATTGCAGCGAAGTCCGCAGGAAATGTCAGTGAGATGGCAAGGAATATTACTTCGCAGCTGGAAGAGGGGATGAAAAAGATGACAACTAAAAATGAAAAATTGTAAATGCAAATCTCAAAGTACTTTTGCTGTTCACACCTTCATTTGCACTGTCCACACAAGAATCGTAATACTAAGATATCTTAGCATGAAGACTGAGTTTTTATTTATATCATAGTCCAATATAGCAGTTGGTCTGAATGTGTATGGAATAGAAGATATACTTTTCTAATTTAATCACATTAAACTCAAACTCCAGTAACATACTGCATTCCAAAGAGGCCACAAAAATCTAAGCCTACAGTCCTAGAACATTATTTAGTATTCAAAAACATTAAGTGTCCAGACTTACTTCATGCTTGCCCATACACCATTTCTGAGTGAGATAGGTACAGGGTGGACATTTCTCCTCACTATGACATGAATGGTACACTGGAGTCACAGAAATATAAAAGCCAGCACAGTTTTATTAGCATACTTCAGTCAAATGCATTAAGAGAGACAGTAAAAACGATTAAACATGAGTCTGCGTTTCAGAACTACACAATTTATGGGAAGCATGATGCTTCATGCAAGGATAATCTGTTCTTTAAAGCACTCTTTAAAAATTATGATGGCAGATTTTTAAGTGAATATTATTCCATATTTTCTAAATGAAATAGCAGAGAATTTTGTAACTTCTGAGCAGGGTTATACTATGAGACGGAATTTGTCAGGAAGCATATCTGTTTGACCTGTGCTATGTTTTTTCCAATCAGCCAATGTAATTCCAAGGAACATAGAAACTAACTGTTCACTAGATTATGCTACTGTTCCAATAGAGCACTTAATCTTTGCAATATAGCATTTAATGTGTTGTGACTATTAATAAGGATCAGAAAAAAATCCAATGCTTTTACCAATCAGAATAACCACTACTAGTATTCATGGCAAGTTTTTAGTTGGTTGGCTTTTAAGTGTAGACTTTTGGAAATATTCACAACTACTGAAAAAGCATCTAATAAAAAAGCAAATATATTTTCAAGCAGACCTATATACACTTTTCTACATTTTGATTTAAAAAACCCACAAAACAAAACACCCAAGCAAAATTGAATGGCCTGACTTACCTGGATGATCACAGTCATGTGGCCTGGTGCATGTTTTTTTACACTCTGGTGGCTGGGTGCCACAGGGGACAGGGGGGTAAATCACAGATTCACCACAATAACAAGTTAACTCGTCAAAACCTGAAAAGACAAGTCAAATATATCCCAATGGCTACATGTGTTTGCACTTCTCCACTATGAGAAATCTTTAAATAACATGCAAATGTTTTACTCCAGCTTTGGTTTTTTTTATATTAAGCACCACTATAGCAAATTTATTAGCTTTTGTGGCTCCTACAAGAAAACTGGACTATGATCACTTCATTAGGAATTATGCTTGCTTTTAGAGAGTGGTTCTTTGACAGCAACATTTTGAACTGGAGCAAGAGAAATGCTCATGTCAAGTTGAAAGCTGTTGCTGTTCTATCCTTGACTTAAAAATGGGGAGATCTCTCTTGAATTCCCTTCCAGAAAGCACACCATCCAAATCTTGTTCTCTGATCTTCCCCCTGCCATCACTTTTTCAGACCACTGGTTAGATTTTGTCCTTTTCTCAAGCCCTGCACATAGTACTGGGAAGATTCCAGAGAAAATTAGCAAAAGGCCGCCAGTCTGTAGACTTCTTCCTATAATTTCTCCTGTATACCTCTTCATGGCATATAGTATTACACAGATCCTCATAAGCAGCTTATGAACCTGTCCAAATACTTCAAAGCCAACTTTGTATGTTTTGGAAGTTCTCTGTCTCAGGCAGTATACATTTCCTTCTTTTTTTTTTTTTCCTTCCGCATTTGGGAACAGATTTTGAACTCTTATCACAAGGTTCCAAATCTCAGTGATAAACAAAGGAATAGAAATACTTACATACACCACCCCAACTAAAACTTAAACTGCACAAAAATTAATACAGTTCACTGCTGTTTTTCAGACTATAAAGAAACTGGGAGGGAGACTGATTGCAATGCAAACTACAGTTCAAAAAGATAAATCTTTAGAAGAACAGGGCACTACGAGAAAATATTAACATCAGAAGTCATATAAAAGACCTGAGAACAAAAAGAGAATCTGGTTGGTCTATAAACAAATAAAGAGATAGTGGATCAGGGAGAACAAGAGAGAATGATGGAGGAGGTAAGAGAATAATGGGGCAATAAAAATACAAAATAACAATTCCAACCTGAAGAAAAGACGAGTGTGTTAAGGGAGCTGCTGAATTCAGCAAGTTCTCTGACTGTGGGAATCACAGGATTCCTCCTTTCTAGTCTACCAAAGCAAAATCTGTTTAACTCTAAAACCCCAAAGGTTCCTACCGCCCCACTTCCATGGATATGATGGCTGCTGGATCAATATGCAGGTCCAGCCAGTAGCAAGACTGAACACATATTCCAGAGAGACAAGACACTCAATGCATACATGGCAATAACATGACACACAGACTAACACAGACCCAACTGAACAAGATTCACGTAAACAGGAATAGCAATAGCCAAGTCCTTTTCCTCCTCTCCAGCTCATCAGGATTCAAGTTCACTAGTGAAGACACACACACGCATACACTCTAGATTCACATGTACTCCACATTCATGGATCTCAAATATTAGCATAGGCTCTGTCTAATATCCATACCTGGACAGACCCCTTACCCAGTCACTGGCTGAAACCTTGAGTATTTCCAGAGGCAGATCTCCTCCTACTAGCCAGTCAGTCCAGCTTTGAAGCATGTTCATTAGCAAATTATCCAGGCATACACAGGCACACACAGGACTGAAATTAACAAGGGAATCGCACACACACCCTAGTCTCTCCAAGTGCTGGCACCCAGACCAAAGGGCCCCTTTAACTTGTGACCCCGTTGTCCAGCTGCTGGCATACAGTATGATAAGTCTGTCTGGTCTCTCCAGTTGCTAGCGTAGAGACTGTGTGCTCCCATGATCTGCAGCCAAGTCTCCAGTTGCTGGCACTTAGACCTCTCACACACAGAATAGAGAATGAGATTACACTGAAAGATATTAAATCTTATTCTTAACTAGGACAGGATAGACAGTTGTCATCAGGTGCACAGGGCTCTGTCAGAGAGGTGCACTGACCAGCAGCTTCATTTGTGCAAATGGTGCTTTTTATCTCCCCTTCTTTCCATTTTCCCATGCATCCACCTTGATTCCTCCCAAATAATCTACCAAATAAATTTCTCTCCATTGGTCCCAGTTTAGCTACATCTGTACCCAAATCTGCTATTTCTGGTATCATTAGCTAGGTCATCCCAGCATCACACAACGACCTAAGTTCTGCAATATTCCACTCCCAAAAGGTTCCCAATACCCCCCTCCTCCAATTATCTGTGAAGCTCAGCCATCTCTCACCCTTAACATCTGTGAAATCCATCCATTCCTCATGGCACTATGTGAAACTTTTGTCAGCTTTTCACTGCGTTTTTTGTTATGTTCAGAAATTTCTCGTGTCCAGTTGTTTTTTTATTGTCTGTTCAGTCAGTTAAATATCAGGCCAGGTCCTAGTCATTTGCCTATGTATCTTAGAGTGCAGCAGTTAGTAGAAAGGATCATAACTTTTGTCTAAGGAGACTCAGTTACAATAAATTCCAGCAAATAAGAATGCTGGGGAGAACAAAATGTTAAGGGTTAGAAGAAAGAAGTAGAAAGAAGTAGAAAAAGCTGAGAAGTTTCAGAATGTCCATGGATTTTGTGTGTAAAGCAAGCATGGGAAAGAGTAGGGTTTTTGTTGATCCTTACTACAGGTCTTGGAACAACCTTTAACACTCCAGGCTTCAAAGCCACAAATCTTCCTTGGTCCAGGAAGACGAAAGACCAGAGACCAAGGTCCCTGGAAGACCTGAGTGTTAGACAGCTACACTGGCTGCTTACTATTGATAAGAAGTTATAGGGTGAAGAATCTTAACTATAATGAAGGTTCCTTCACTAGCACTAATCAGGATAATGGCAAGGGAATGCAGAGGTCTGATCCAAAGAGTAGAAACACAACATCTGACAACTTAAAAAAAAAAAAAAAGCTGTCTAATGCTGACATCATTTATTTTCCCCAAGAGATATACTGCTGTCTTGAAGCAGACTGGATGTGTATAAAGAGACTTGGGCATAGAAAGGGAACTCGCCTCTCAGCACTGAGGAAATGACACTAGAAAGGTAAAGTACCTGGGAAGCACACAGAACCACAGAGGTGTAGATGTACTCTAGTATTGCATCTTGATGCCAGCCCTCGCCATTCCCAGCAAAATCAGTAGTGGAGATGGAGCCAGGGGCAAGAAGTCCAATCTAATGAGTGGCAAGCGGCTTGCAGCTGACCGTGGCATGGCACATGATACAATGGCTGATGCAGCCCAACTGCAAAGTGGTGGCTAGACAGGTAGATCAGAGCCAAGGATGAACTTCTTAGTGCTGAGAAGCACTCCCCATCAGCTACAGGGTCAGAATCACACAATGTATGCCTCTGAAATCTCAACTAGCAGCATCCAAGGAAAGCAGGTAAGAAATCTTTGAAGATACTGCTTAGCTGATTTACCTCTGGACAAATTCAGAATGGGAGACTTCAGGGACACAAAGGTTTAAGCCAAATGACCATAAGTATCTGGTTCCTTGAGTAGGTAGCTGCTTTTCCTGTGCTCAAAAAACGGCCTCACTGCAAAATTGCGGAAGTGAAGCTTGACCTCTCAACTGCATCACATCCAACAGTGGAACAATTTACAGGGGAGGCAATCCTTAGGTCTCTCCAGGCTAAGACAGGCATCTGAATCTTAGGTCTGAGAGTGAAATACAATCCTCAAAAATACTGCAGCAGTGTGGAGAAGTTTAATGATCTTGAAGATCAAACCCATGAAATCCAGTGAAGAAAAACAACCATTCAGAAAAAACTGTGCATTCTGACTCAACTGGACCAGCAGTTACTAACAGGACTTCTGAGACATTCAGATTACTATTTTGCTTTGTCAAGAGAAGTGTTTGGACACAGAAACATTTTTTTTTTTTTTTAAAAGAGAGGTACAGTCAACGTGCACATCATATTCATAGGCTATTAAGACAGACTAGAATGCTATTTCAACCACAGTGAGCTTTAGAGGCTCTAGTACCTTCTCTTTTCCAGGATGTTTCCATGAAAATTTCGCCTCCATAGAAAAATTGAGTTCTTATACACATAGTCAATGATATAGGAGAGACACGTGTACTATGGCAGCTAAGACACTTCCAGCTGTAAACAGTATCCTTAAAATGTACACCTGTCTCTCTTCTTTTCACCAATGTCATGAGGTCTGGTTCACACTTTCAACATCTCGTTATCCTCTTTCCCACATTCCAGTGAGCAGTTCCAAAGCAGTACCCAGTTTCTGAGAGAGGAGACTCACTTTTCTCCAGCAGTGACTGCAGAACTACTAGGCAAAAAACAGTATTTGATGAAAGCTGAAGGGGAACTACAGGTGAGTATTTATATTCCGTTCTAGAAACACTCTCCCCTCAGTTTTACTGCAGCTTACAGCAGATGCAAAAATAAACCTAGAATTCACAGCTGTAAGACTTAACAATGATGGATTTAAAGAAAACTTTCAAACTTAAGCGAACACTAGGTGGAAGGATGGATACAAGCTGAAGAATTCATTACAGGCTTTTTCTGCCCAACTTTCAAAAATTGCATTTAATAAATAGCTTATAACTTCCGCGATAAGCTACAACTATATAAAGAAAGGGGAAACCTGTATTAAAATATGAGACTGAGAAAAATAATTAAACTGCTATCACATATGAAGATGTTCCAGATAAACTAGAAGTTCTGCTAGCAAAAGGAAACAGAAGCATTATTCTGTCTGCTTCAGGCCAAAATCAGAAAATTTAGTATTATCTACCTATTATGATGGTGCAAAATAATCCACATATGGTCCCCGACATCAAGTGGTAAAAAGCAGTTGTAGAAAAACTAGGATATTCAACTGACATAGCTTTTAATAAGAGTACATACCTGTCTAAAGCTATTGCACCAGCTTAAATCTTTAAATAGTCAGCAATCCTAAGAAAATTAATACCTGCTGGCTGTCCATCTATTTCTAGCAATTCAGTACTAATTTTCACTATCCAGAGTGTGACCAGAAAGCCTAAAGTCACAAACAACTGACGTCTCTTATTTCTTCAGATGGTCCTGTCCAGAGAAAAATCACTAGTGTACCAAGTTGGGAAAGTCCGAATTCTAAGCAGCTAAACAAATTCTGCTACATACTTCAATATCTTTAACAGTTATTACGTTGTTAAACAAGAGTTCCCTTAACTTGGAAACTATCTTTCTAAGCTGCTTTTGTTTTCCTTGCATGATTCCTCAAATCTTTTAAGTGACTGCTGGATCAACATACATAACAATATATTTCACTGTAATTCAATTTTAACTATTAAAATCCAACACTTAGACTCATCTAAAATGAAATAACTTTCTCTTTCATGAAAAAGCATACAATCAAAATGAACTGCATATTCTTCAGGTTCTGGCCAATTTGGATCACATTCTCTGTCCAATTCTGACCAGTTAAGTGAATAAATTTCTCTAATATCTAAGAAATAATGTACTTTTGCACATAACTCACTTGTTTGCCAGCATGTTTGACAGCTGCCCCGATGACAGGGTTCTTCACATCTATGAAGCCCACAGTTGAGTTTACGACCACAAACCAAAGAACACTTATGTTCTGTGTCCTAGGGGAAGGCAAAAGAAGAAAAGCAGAATTAACTATAAACCCCATTGGTTTATTTTTCTCTGTGAGGTCATAATCTACTAATTAACAAAACTGTATAGTGCAAAAAATAGCTTAGGCCTGATCTATACATTTTTTCCATCACTGTATGGATACACAATTTTTAAAGCGGATTCTGTTAAGACCTCTATTGCAGACATAGCTATATCATAGCTTATGCTTCTTGTATTAAGTAATATCCTTCCCCTCCCCACTCTCCCTGGAATCACTGCATTGACAAAAAGCACCTTTACAGTGATTTAATTGCATTTAGGCTGGAACGTGGTTTTACATTTATAATGATACCCATAAAACAAATGTTGCAAAATAAGTGCACACACACAAACTTTTTGAGCATGACCAATACTGCAAATAGAGACTGAAGATGCACAAAAATGGAAAGATACAAAAGCAAAAAAGTCGTTTAACATCACAACCAAAACTACACACACATCACAATGAACAATTTTATACCACCAGTAAACTTACCACACAGCAAACTTCAGTACACTTGTGTCGTCCACATGATCTTTTCTTGTTGCATCGCTTGTCACACATGAATGTAATAGCAGCTATTAAAAACAAAAAAAACCCAACACCACAAAAAAACAGTCATAACTTTTATGTCTTTGCTTATACTGAGAACAAAGGCTGTGATCACAATGTTACTCTAAGGCTGTTGCAGAGCATGGTTTAGAAGACACTAATATAGAGTAAGTCAGCAAGCAAACTTTTAAATTACTTGCTCTTCCACATTAATCCCCATGCGAACACTTGGCTTCCTTTAAACAAACCCTTGCTCAAAAGGATTTTGTAGAGCAGAATACATGAAACTAGTTTATTTCACATTAGTCTTTACACCATAAACTCTGCACAATAGAACACAGAAAACAGGATATCCTGATAAATTGGATGTTTGTGGTACTCCAGTGTAAGACTGCTCAAACTGGTAAGGCAGTAAAAGTTAGCTAAATACAACTACTGCTGATATGCTCATGAAACTAGTATTAACAAAGAATATCCTTATCACCATCCACAGGTAACAAAAGCAATCACTTCTGGATTCTGAAGAGCAATGTCTTCATAGACAAAAGCTCAAATTAGGATATACGCATATTACTAGCTTACGTATCTTGTAACCAAGTACCTCAGTATGACGGGGGTCCATCAAGTAAACATTTCACTGAGGTGAATTTTGAGATGCTACATCCAGAATACCAAGAAGTGTCAAATGGGAACTCTGCCAAGCTCAGATGCAAAGACCAGCAGTATGCAACTGTGAAGCAGAATCAAAGCTTGTATTTCCCCAGGAACTTGGACAAGAGCAGAACAAAAGCATTACTTTGCATCTGAGCTGTGCAAGTTGACCCAAAGATACGCAGGATGTCAACTGGTTTTAAGATGCTACCAGTACTGGCATAAGTATGGAGACAATGACACCTTGTATACACTATTGCATCAAAACACAGATAAAAAGTTGAGTAAGTTGCAATTCTCAGCTTGGTGGACAAGACATTAATCACCCAACTCTCTCAGGCAGGAACACAGAGCTCATTTTTGCTGTTGGTTTTTGTTTTGTTTGGGTTTTTTTTTGTCATTTGTTTGGGTTCTTTTGGGATTTTTGGTTGGTTGGGTTTGCTTGTTGGTTTTTTTTTTTTTGGGGGGGGGGGGGGGGGGGGGGGGGGGGGGGTGGGGGGGGTACAGGAACCTATTGAATATGGCAGGTGACATAAGAAACTGTTCAAACTGAAATAGACAGCTTGTCTGGAATCTTCGAGATCAAATGGTGAAGAAGTCTTTCCTTATGTTAAAGATGAATAGAAACGAAAGAGGTTTATTTCAAACCTCTTCTCAAAAGTAGCAGCATCTCAAGAAATTACCAACTTGGCACAGAAGTATGGATAAAAGAAGCAGTACTCATCAAATATTTGCCAACTTTGTCAATCAAACCCCAAATTAATATGAGCTGTGTATTGTTTTTAAACCAATTACACGTTATATATGTAACATAACATTGTACCTTTATTTCTGAGGAGAGTACATGGGACTTCCTAGGAAGCAAACAGGGAGCCATTAGGTTAAAACAGAGGAAACAACTGAAACTTATCTAGAACACACCTAGTCACATGATACAGAAAGAAGCAGCACTCTCGGTTTTCATGTGTGTAACACTTCTGTATACAAAAGTGAAACAAAAGCTGGAAAAATCCTCAAATCTTTTAACACAGTACTTTTTCCTTAGAGGTTCAATACCAATTAAAAAAAAAAAAATTGTAGTTTTGTATTCCCCACTTAATTCAGCAGATAATGCTGTGAAGTGACAGAAACATGTTTGTCCTAAGAAACCAGAAACTTGCATGGAGGAAACCAAAAGAGCTCTCCCAGAGAATATTGACAGAGCGCATAAATTTGTGCTTTGACCAGCTGTCCCAAAAATGCAAGTCTGACTTGATTAAAAAAAAAGAGAGAGTGAAGTCAAATCTCATGATCAAAGAAGTTTTACCTAGATTAAAGACCTCAACATGAAAATAAAAGGTGATGGATGAAAAGAATATTGTTGATTGACTATATTTAAACCTTCAGTCATCACAACTTTACATTCTGAGTTGTCATTTCAGAGCATCGCATTTTTCATGATTGATTATCACTGTAGTTCACTCATACTTTTTCAAGAAGCACCTTTCCGGTGTCTGAGAAGCTGCATAAACTAAAACCCAAACCTCACTACTTTGTTTCAGGCCTCAAAACGAAAGATAATCTGAAGCCTTCTACCCCATAACTACCTTCAGAAAACTTGCAGGAGAAAACTGTTCCAACCTCAAGCAAAGTCTCAATCATTTCTATGTACTTTAAGACATATATTCAGAGGCCATCTCTAGTTATAGATGATATATAACAGGTCAGAAAAGTCATCAAGGCTCCTGTGATAGTAGCCAAAGATTTCAAAGCTATGATCACAGCATAGTTTAAAATATACTAATATATACTATAGCATAGTTTAAAAATATACTAATTATTATACAATTGCTGAGAATCTGCTGGGTCACTATATAAATGTATGAAGAATGGGGAGCAGTAAAAACTTCATATTCTCCCCAAAAAATTCTGCAACAAATCTACGTGCTATTACTATAAAGTTTTAGTTAGCTTTTTATGTTAGGTTACCTTTCTTCTCTCAGTTTACATTACTCCTGGTAAAACTACCATTCTTTGTGCTATATAAATACTACAGGATAATATAGGACTTTGCAGCCAGCTTAAACAAACAGAATTCTGTGTAAACTCTGCAAAAATACTTCAAAAAAGTACCTCCACAGTATGTATGTGGCAGTGTATGTAACAGTGCCTTTGTTAGCACTTCACAGTATAATCTAGTTAACATCTATCAGTATACAACGGAGGTTCTTGCAACTAAGGAGCACAGCACCTCTTATACTTCTTAGTTTTCTTTTCCTTAACTACTTCAGCTCCTTTTTCTCCACAGCTTTAAAAAAAAAAACCAAAGATTACCTGTTTCCATGGTCAAGCTTTATACACTCACCTTTTTTTTGAAGCCACACCTACAATAAATATTTGAAGTGTGAGAACATGGTCTACAGTCTCCTTCATGGCAAAGGCTTTCACATGTATGAATGAACTCTAGCAAAATGAAAATAAAAAGATTAACAATCAATTAAAAAAAATAAAATCCATCACCTGGAACTTCCTATTTATCCGGAGCACTACTGGTCAAAAATACTAAGCTATGTGCAGCTGGGTTTCTAAACAAATTAACTATTTTGAGTTAAATGTGTATAAAATTTTGCCATTATTTTCAACTTTTTAATCCTGAATCTATAGACTAGAGTTTCAGGTCTACAATTAACATTGAAAATGCATACATTTTAAATATTTTTTACATTAACGTATGGGAGGGAGGGGGAAAAAAAAGATCATGTGGTACTATCTTAACCCAAGTTCCAGGAATTTTAAGTAATTTTTAATTCCTTTTCAGCCCAAAGAATGACTTACTATGCATACCTTCATATTTCACTTACTAGGTTAACTGAAATTCAACTAAAAGCTAAATTACTCATTCCCTCTCTACTTGTTGTCCTTGGACTGACAGAATGGATCAGTCATTAATAAGAAGCCCTCATCCTGACAGCATTAGTCTCTCTCCTCTCTAAAGTCTAACAAATCATGATTAAATATGTAGTCTGTAAAACTGGATCTTCACACAATCTCACAGTTAAATACACTTGAGTTACCTACTGCACTCATTGAAGTGTCAAATTGCTTCTGCACATAACTTTCTCCAACTTTCCAACACTACTTTTTACTTCATGAACCTCTTACAGCAGCAGGAAATAACTATTTACTGGAGGCATCTGAACAAAGTCATTTATCTCTACCAGTCTCCACATGAAAGTCAAAGATCTAGGTGGGCTTTTAAAAGACATCAATATGTATCAATATAATACATCAATACTCTCTGGAAATTCCTACAGCTCTATTCCTCTGCCAACATAGGAAAAGTGCATGTAAACAAAATTTAAAAGGCTAGCTAGTGGTAGTGCTTTCTAGTCAAATATACTTCCTGATTTTAAGGTATCATTATGAACAAACAGTCAAACTGCAGGCTCTGCAGTGGCTTTTACACTCAGTTTGGTTAAAACCCAAAATCACTAATCAAATGCTTATTTCTTGAAATGAAACAGTTAAGGACCACTTTTTTTTTTTAAACAATGAGATAATTTGAATACTCTGATACAGAAAGTTCTAATTACCATAGCTACCACAAGAAAGAGGTTTGCCACATGTTTTTCCACATGATGGGATAGGGTCTGTGCATATTTTACGTTCAACACATCCTAGTTCCAGTAACTTGCTGAGAGGAGTCTGACCACAAGGACAGCGATACACTACTTGTGGAAGTCGTGGACAGAGCTGGCAAGGCTGAGGATGGCATACTTGCGTACAGTTGTGCCTCCCACAATTTAATTTTCTGGAAAAAAAAAAAAAAAACCAAAGAAAAAAAAAAAACAAAAAAAGGGGGGAATTATCTAAGAGTATCATGATCACTGAGTGTGAATAAAATGACCTTTTTCTTTTCAAAAACCTAAATTATAGTGACCTTACTTGCCACATATATTCTGACATGAGAAATTCCCAAATCCATCAGAGAATTCTTCCTTTGTCCCACACAATACTTCTTTAAAGTTGCTTCCACAGTAACACACTGAAAGAAAGCAATATTCCACAGAAAACAACACAAGAGAATCCGTGACAAAACACGTCCAGCAGTACAGCAAATATAAAAAGGTGAAATGTGAAAAATTGTTACAGTCAGTTTTTAGAAGAATAATGAAGTTGCTCTTTAGATTTATTTCAGCAATAGAGGTTTCTCAGTCCTGCAGAAGCTGGAATTTCTGTTTTATTTGTTTTGATAGATAAAAAATAAATAGGAAGTATTATCTGCACAAAAAGCTTACTTATTAAAGCAGTATACGTAACAAGTTAATTGTTACCTTGAAAGTTGAGAAAATTAACTTGCAATTTTCTATATCAAATTTCAACAAAAATGTACTTGTATACTGGCACACATACATGCGACAATCTAATTTCCATTCAAGACCAAGTTTAGAAAATTTTAACAGAAACCATGAGTAGCTTATTGAAATGTACTTTCCTATACCTCTTTCTATTCTTCTTCCATGTACCTCAGAATTATAGTAAAAGATTAAGTAGAATCATAGGACAAATCAGGTCAGAAGGGCCCTTAGGGGATCAGCTAGTCCAAGCCCTTACTTAAAGCAGAGTCATCAATGAGATCAGATCACATTACTCAGTGTTTCATTCAGTTGGGTCTTGAAAACCTCCAAGTTTCCAAGAAAAGAGTTTTTTCTTATAGCTAGTTATAACATTTCAACTTAGGCTCATTGTCTCTCATCCTCCCCCCGTGCACAGTCTGTCTCTGTCTTCTTGATTACCTCCTGTTAGCTATTGAAAGGCCACTACTCGGCCTTCTCAAGCTAACAAATTCCAGTACCACCAGCCCGTCCTAATAGGGCACATGCTCCAACAGCCTAATCACCTTGGCAGGATTCTTTCTAGTCATGTTTATATTCTTATTTAAATATATAGTGATGCTGACACATTTTCCTTTTTTAAAATATTCTAGCAATAGATTTTGGTTTTGTTAAGTAAAAATAGGGCACTTGCCTCTTGGTACTGTTTTTTTTCACCCTCTGGTTTTCGTAGTGTAGAATGGATATACATAAGGCTTTCCAATACTTACCTTGCTGTGCTGTTAATTGGCAAGGTGAACATTTTCCTGCATGGCACACTTGAGTACAGCTGTGCTTACCACAGTTTAAAGTATTTCCACATACATTAGAACAATGAATTTTTGTTGATTGGCCACAGCGCACTGAATGACTGTAGAGAAATGACATCACAGTCTGTCAGCTACCTTAATATCTATAGAGCATTTATTAAAGAGGAAAATACTTTTTCAGTAAAATGCCAACGCATTTGAAAGGGAGCATAACTTTTAATGACTTTTTAGGAAATAACCCCCCTGTTTTTCCCCCTGCTTCCCCTCTCCAGCCCCTCTAAAGTCGGACACTTATCACAGTAGTGAGTCTACGGAATTTTTTTTTTTTCCATTTTGTTGAAAGAAAAGGTGACACTATAACTTGAACCTAATGTATGGTTATGCATCATGCCAGAAGAGCAGATATTTCTATTACAGACATCTTTCTGAAGACTTAAACGATCCTAAGTCCACTGAGCACAATGAAGATAGGGATGTGGGCCTTAATAGTGAGTCAGTAGTCTACAAAAAGAGTTGGGTTTTTTAATTAAATTGTTAAAAAAATGGGACAAAACAATAAATTCTCCTCTTTTTCCATTCTGGCTGGCCTCATACAATGGTTGCAAAATGTACATTTGAAATAGTAACTTCAAAACAACTTAAAGTCAGAGATGCCATACCATACATCTTGGATGCTAATACAGTACATATGAAAAAATGCTGTTTAGAAGCAAGTTTTAAGTATTAAATGCAGTATTAAAAAAATCAGCAATCTGGTGAAAGTAGCTGGCACCTGGGAAAAAGTAATAAATCAAAGTTGGTTGCATCTATTAAACTTCTAAATGCAAGGAACAGCTAGAATTAAAAAAAAAAAAGAGGTGATCTTACTATGTAAAATAAAATTCAGTAATCTACAACCAATCCATTTTTCTACTGACGACAAAGTTCTTTCAACTACAAATACTGCCACAGAAATAGCTGTACCTTCTTTTGAAAAAGATCACTTAATATTACATTCAAACTTTCAGAAATAATTGTAAAAGTCTGAAAACATTTTTTCTAGAGCAAGAATGCCAACACTGAAATCAGTTTTTGTTTGTTTTGGTTCTGGAAACGAGCACAAGCATACATTTTATTTACACAGAATCAGTTCTAGGTAGCTAGAACAGGGACTCTAAAGACTCAGAACAACTGAATATGAGAGATCAGAGATAGTATGGGCAGCACAGTCTTGATGTTGTCAATGACACTATAAGCATCTAACATGCAAGGAAAGGATAGCTTTCAAGTCTGAAGTATACTACAGACTTCTCTCTTGCTAGTGGTACAGCTTCCTAGAATCGTACACATTATTTTTTAAATTATTATTTCTGGAATGGAGTAACTCAGCATTATATTCCATTCAGATAGAAAAGGTGTGAACCTTTTTCTACTTCCTTCTCTGTGTCTTCTACAAAATAAAATAAATAAATACTAGAATAGGATTTCAAAATCAAATCAACTCAGACTGCTTGGACAATTCAGCTACATGTACCATAAATTGATTAACACAGAATTCTTTTTTATTATTTTTATTTCTTCTTAAAAGATTAAAAGTAATTGCATTTTTTTAAACTATAAAATTCTCCAAATTATTTTAGCACATAAGAGTTACAGCTCAGAATAAACTTTGTTCTAGAAACTTTTAATAAACTGTAAGAAAGAAAAATTTTATTATATAAGCTTTCAATCAACTATTCTTATATAAACTTTTATTTGTATATTTGAAGCATTCTCACCTTGTTTGTCCACATTCACATGTTTTTGTCACAAAGGCTGGGCACGAAGGGCAAGGTCCTGGATGGCACAGGCTTAAATAAGTCCAAAAAGCAAACCAAATTGTAAAGTTAACTTTAGCTTTACTACGCTCCCAGAGAAACAATCCACCATGACCCAATCCACAGTGCATTATCAGAACATTATACAAACCACCTACACTCCTGCAGGGTATGAAAGCATTATTAACACAAGAAAAAAAATATTAGATTATTACAGTTGCATCAGTCTCAAATGTCACTGATGTTGAAGGAAAACGTCAGTATTCCTGCTAAAACAGTAACAGTGCTACTAACACATTTTCATAGTTTGCATTTCACCAGCAGACATGTATCAACTCAACTGTGTTCATCACTGATAACTCAAAACAAACATCGCATGTCCAAACCATTAATACCTATCCTTCTTCAGTGATCTTAAATAGAGACAAAAACCTCTCAATGAATTTCTTCTTTTGAGTTGATGGCTTTATCTTTGAACTCAGCATTTCTAACACCACCAGTAAGAGTTGTTGCTCCTCTTCTTGTAAGGTAACACATGGGAGATGCAGCAAGTCTGCCTCAGTTTTCTTTCCTACCATCAAATGCAATTTCCTGTGAGTGTCATCAATGCCAGTCCCTTACTTGATCATCAGATCCACCTCCTACTTCAAGAAACACTAGATGGTCTCTATCTGCATATAAGACCTCTGTTGGGCACAGACAAGCCCAGGTTTGTGAAATTATACTTAACTAACTGGTCTGCACTCTTCCTTAGCCAGCTCCCAGTTCCCTTCCTTTGCAAATACAGCAACTCTCATGTGGAGCAATTATTATCGGCCAGGACTGACCAGCCCAGATGTCCTAGCCAAAAGAAAAAGAAAAAAAAAACAACCAGCAAAAAAACCCATAAACCAACTACCCAATTACATGGTAGTTACTAAATTCCCCAAGTACAGTCACTGCGCAAGTACCAATTAGTACACCAGTTACTGCAGTCATATGCAGTATGATTAAGTCATGTCAGCAGTTCATCAACAGTGGTCTGGCTCCCTTCTTCCTCTACCACTCCTCCCAGTTGACAACAAAGCCTAATCTAATATCTGTCACCCAACTTACGACAGCTCTAACAGTAAAGCCAAGCCATTACACGATAAACCAATTCAACACAAAAAAACATCAGCAAAACCAAAAAACAAACCACCAAAGAAACCACAACTCTGTCTCTTTGATACGTCAGTTTTATGGCATAATGAGGAGTTAAATAAGCAGCAGAGCAGGCACAAGGAAAGGGATAAAAGAACAAAACTGGATGGAGCAGGGAAAACACGATATAGAGGGAAACAGGAAGAAAGCAAAATCATTAAATTAAAACTATTGTGGAACTTCAGACAATGAGAATTAACATGCATTCTGCAACAGAAAACCTCTTGTAAAAGGACAGCACTATATATTTCACTGTCTTGACTTCAATTCTCACAGACCCATGTAGGATTCTAAAGGCTGGATGCCAGCTTATAAACTTAACAATCAGATTAAAAATAGATCTAAACTCAAAATGCTATGATCTAGGTCATAACACGGAAAAGCTAGAAGACACATCATCTTCAGAAATCTTGTCATGTTAAGTTTTCTACCTGGTATATTATTTTCTTCACCATCATATTCAAGCAATGTTAACATTGCTTCCATGAGACCAGTCTTGGCACACTTTCTGATGATACTATACCACATAACAGCAATTTATACTGATCACAGATATTTTTAAGTTGTAAATACATATAGTAGACTGCAGTCTTATAGCAAGATTTGTTCTGTTAGAAGAGTATCACGCAATTAATTTCCAGACATCTCCAAGTTTTGATAAAGTGTTTCTGAGACAGTTTTAAGTGAGCTGTGTCATTTGGTTAATATGAACAGAAAAATTCTAGTAATGCAAAAACTAACACTTTGCAACCAAGCTTCTGACTTTAAAAATAAGTATTCTTTATGCATCCCTCCAGATACACACACTTGCATGCTACTTATTTAGCAAAAGTCTCTGGTACTACTTGGTTTATGCAGAAGCTACAGTATGTGTACAGTTCCAGGATTTACTTGATCAATACAACAATGGTAAGATAGAAATTCAAATTTCACTCAGCACACACACACACACAGAAAGTGCAGAAAAAGTTGATAAAGATGGGTGTTACCTTAGAGTTTTAGTCTGTTTTAAGGGACTAAGCAAAAAGTTAAGTTAAATGACTTAACAGTGTTACAAACTGAAGTCAAAAAGGCTGAAGACTTCAGTTATTAACTTCTGTTCAGTGAATGCAGTCTTACTTTTACTGAAACTCCATTATCTATCATTAGCATGGAGGATTTATTTCACAATTTACTGCTGCTGCTCTAGAGAACGGGCATACAAGAAAGGCTGTGATGATAGATACATCTAGGAAAAATTAAACTTCCATTTGCCTGACAGTGAAAATACTAGATACTGTAGGAGAGCCCAAACGGACTTCCAGTAACTGCTGTGGAAAAGATTACAGCACCAAAGATCTCTGAAGGAAGACCAGACACTAAAATTTAAACTAGTAGAGAGAAAATTTCATTTACTGCCTTTGTAAGACATTCTTCAAATGCTCTCAAGGCCTTGCATAGTTCCAGCTGGCAGGGAGAATTTCAGAGTCTTAAAAGAAGTTTAAGTTTGTCATGAAGTTTATTATCAGGAATATTTTCTTGAAGGTTAAGCTAGATGTTTCTTTGATGTAAAACCTAACAGAGCGAAATGAATTTCAGTGTATTTAAACTAAAAACGCGAAGAGAACTCACTTTGTGAAGGCTATGCACACCACAGCTCACGCTAGCAAAAGGCTTGCAAAGCACTCCCCTTCCAAACAGCTGCTTACCTGTTCCTCAGCTCTGCCAACAAAGCTGTTTATATAAATGGTTACTAACCCATTTCAATAAATCTGAGCAAATATTAAAGATTTACTATTAAAACAGCGTAAATTAGCGTCACTCATTTTTACCAAAATGGGCTAGCTAGTGCCACACTTAACACAAGCATCCAATTGAACGCTACACTGTGGGAATGAGATTAACACAATGACATCTACATTTAAAAAAAAAAGTCAGATTGAGGAAATACTGTTGGGAATTGGCCAACCATTAAAAAAATCCAGGGGCGCCAGGGGGAAGCAACCCCCCCAAAACAAAATATAAATTAATAACCAAAATACCACTTCAGCAGAAAATCATTTGTTCTGGTGGTATAAAGGGGATCAACACATAGGTGTAAGCTGGTTACAGGCAACAGTAGGCTGAAGAATTGCTGTATCTCTGTAAGCTCATTTTTTAAATTTGAACACCAATTTCAGACATTCCTTACAAGTGTAAAAGAAATACCAAATAATTTGAAAGCCATAGCCACCAGAGTCACAAAACCTAAGGAAACATAGCTCTGATTCAAACTGAAAGTATGTAGGATGCATGTCTTATTACAGAATTTTAGACAGTGCTTAGAGACAAGGGCCTCAAAAATGATGGTCTAACACTGCAAAGTAGAAAATTATGACACCCACTCCCCCCCCCCACACAACACACTTCTTGCCTGTCATCCTAATCTCTCTTAACCAGGGTACAAGCTTTAATATCCTTTCAAAAAGTGTCTACATGATGCTGAGAGCTCTAGACATTCTTATTACCCATATCAGGATCTGTTCTCTTTTGAATCTTACTAATTGTTTGCAAGGAGATTCCCTGCCTAGCAGAATGCATTTGATGCCTTCTGTATTTGCCACCTTCTGATTTAATTTAAGGTCTCATTTCCTACTCAGGGAACACAGTGGGGGGAAAATCCCCATATTTTCAATGTTTTCTTGATAAAACTAATCACTTCACAAAGTATTAAAGTAAAAGGACCCAAATCTTTTCCCATGACTTTTAATCCAATTCTTTCTCCTCAGGCACAAGAGCCTGATGGTTACTCAGTTTTAAAGGGAAAACAGATTCTCAAGTAACTGAATCCACTTTGATCCACTTCAACTTGCTACTTCATACTACGTTAAGAATAATGTAACCACCTAAGCAGCACTTGGAATAGCACAACTGGCACCACCAAAAGATTACATCACCAGTCACATCGCTCTCAGAGCTGCTCATTCCACAAGGGACAATCGTTCACACAAGCCTAGCATATAGCGTAACACAATGCATAGAGAAGGCAGACAGCAAGAGGGAGGCTGAAGTTTAGACCACCAACAACTATTACAATGGCTTACTTACAACACCTCCTGTACTCTGCACATTTCATCTACATGGCAGAGGGAGCAACTACAAGCATCCTAATGCAAAGCAATAAGAACAATGTTCCTCTGATGTCACATATGAGGAGAAAAGGGGATGATGTTGGATCCTGGTAGCGTCACACCAGATAGCTGCAGTGTAGATACACAGTGTGTGGTTTCTGGAAACTCAGACAATACTGCAATTCAGATTCTGTTGCTAGGCACTGTATAAATAATTCTGATATAAAGAGCAGTATATAATATTATATAGAGAGCTATAAGCATCTAAATCTCCCATACTCTGATTGTTGATACAATAGCCACAAAGAAAGATAAGAAACTAAGCAAGAATCCCATGACTCAAAAAGCAGGTTCCCCAAGACACAGATTCAAGTCCCACCAATGAATATGGTTCATAACAGGATTCATCCAGATTAGCTCTGTCAGAGGCTCACGGACTGCAGATACAGAGGTCTGCTCAACTGGAAGACAATGGACAGAGCTGGACTTTAAATGAGAGTCCCACATACTTCAACTGCAAAGGGTTTCTCAGAATACATGGGATTAAATACTGGAGAAAGGGCAACATCAAGAACGCCACACCAAGACTCAGTCCACTGCCCATAACAATGGACACATCCCTACTATTAACTAAAGTCACACATATTTGAGAAGAGCACGAATAGTTTACTCCAGAGAATTCATCGTCCCGTCACACTGTGAGGTAGAAGGTCTTGACAATGACATGAAACATCTGACCCAGAAGGGGAAAAACAAAAGAAAAGGAAAAACAAAAAAGTTTTTAGCATCTCAGTGACCAGAATGGCATTTCTGGTTCAAACCTTATCACGTTATGGGAACCTGTGGGAGCAGGGGAAAAAGATCCACAATCCAAAGAAACAAGTGTTTACAAGAAAGAGTTCTGAGATCATCTACACTCAAGCAAGAACATGAAACAGACTCCTGGTCCTGATGGCAACAAGTCCACCTTTGAGTATTCTCTTGAGGAAAAACTCTGCCCAGATACAGATCATGATCCAGACTTCTAGATCAGTTGAGGTTGTCCAGTGGGGAGGAGCTGGTAAGACAGACTGCCAAAGATGCATTCAGATGATAAAGCTCCACATCTCTAACTCCACCACTTCCTGATACGGCAAGAGAGAACCAGGTTTCTACTTGCTTTTTGATACAGGGAAAGGAGGCACAGTATGTCCTCATAAATACCTAAGATTCCCACACTGGAGGAAGAAGTGTCCAACATATACTGAGGAATGTCCAAAACTGGGTAACACTGATGCTGAAAGTGCACTCCTCTCCAGATCAATACCACAAGTCAGAGAGTGCCAAAACTACCCATTATCTTGATCTACACCCTTGCCGTTTCCTTACCTCCAGGACTGGATGTTCTCAGCATGGTTTTAACTCATATGGAATGAGCTGAATGATAACACCTAAATTTGCTACAACTTAAACTGGTAACAAGTGGGATTTTAAAAGGTCCCAATTTCCACAGCTTTTGACGTAGATCAGAGTACCAGGGACTACGAATTCATAGCTTGCAATAGGCACAATATTGCCACCACTGTTCAGAAGACTTCCCAGAAGAGAATACCAGAGACTGAGCCTCAGCTGTAGACTGGGACAGGAAAAAAAAGGAAAAGAACAGCTGTTTCTTCCAAGCGCTATAGGAAAGTTTGTCAGGTAGCAAGTTGCAGTCGCGGAGTTCTCAAAGTAGTTAAGGAGTCTACTTATTTCTGACTGGGCAAAAAAGTCCTCCATGGATGCATGCCTCTTCTGAGATGGAGGCCAGCAGCTGGCCTCCAAGAGAATCAGTATTCTGCTAAGTCAGGATATCAGCTACATCAAGCGTAGTCTGAAAGCTGATCTGTGTTTCAGTTTCACCCTGCAAACCACAGTGAAGAGGATATAGTATGATGATGAATTAAGAAAACAGCTATAGCACTGAAATGACAGTCTGAAAAGAAATCTAATATAATATTTTCACATGTGGGAAAGAAGTATTAAAGACTAAAGAAATATTCTTTCATTCAACAAGATGTTGAAATAGGTTTGAAACCGAACGCATTAAATAAAAAGTTTGGAGTAAAGTTCTAGTAAAGTTCTGAGTTTTAGTAAACCTTGGAAAAAGTATAAGATGATAATCTATTTGTTGGAATGACTCAAGGTTTTGATTGTGTACCAAGAGCAGAAACAATTGCTTCTATTAAAAACTTCTTAAAACAGAACTATGAACAGGCATTATGGACCAACTTCCATACATGGAAAATGAAGCTAGATACACTAGGAACAACATATAATTTATTTTTCTGACTAGCAAGCATATTTATACATCGAAAAAGCTCACCTAATGCTCTTAATCTTATCAATATAATACTACCACACTGCTAAAAAAAGATCTAAAGGAAAGCATCAAACTGAAAATAGAATTGCTTTTCTTTGCGTCTCTTTATTGAATTACACTAATGAATGTTAGCAAAAACAACCCGAGTTACGTATACCGATTAAGATCTCCACGAGGGATCCCGGTTCAACCATCTGGTGGTCTCAAGAAATAGATAAATATATATAATGCCCTCTTGGCTTGTAAAGTGTTGAGGACAAAGAAAAGAAAAAGAAACAAAGGATAGAAGTAAGCGGTCCTTCAGTTTAACCAAGTACCATTGCTCTTAGATTAAGATATACAAACACTATTACAGGAAAAGCAGCACCTAAAACGTCTGGTGGGCCACTGGATATACGTTTAAAATTACTTCTATTCACTATTATTTCTCTACTTCAATGGAAGTTCTTGAAACCCAGCCAGGCAGCTGCTTCAGTTCCTAAAATATGATGGAAATGCTGCTATGACTATCATTGCTGACCTCCTGTTCATTCTCTCATATGAACTCACTCTAGACATACAAATGCAAATAGCCTCCATTTCTCCCAGGCTTCAGTTGAGCTATAAAACACCTCTAAGCATATCCTATAGTCAAAAAATATCCAAATACAATCCACAGAAATTTTCTCCAGGTCATTTCAATATGCATATGATAAACATTTACTTACATGTTACAAAGATGTGGACAGTCCAAACACTGTCTCTTCTTTCCACAAAGTTCCCCACAGCTATGTGGGATTTCATTTCTATTCCATTCGGGATTGTGCACCTTACCTAAACCACATCAAAGACAAAAACATATTTATTGCCTTGAATACAACACTGAATTTGGGAAAAATATCACACCACAAAGTTGTATTTTCAATACTGGCAGTAGTCATCTTTGAAAAACAAAATGACACAAGATGTTTTATGTTTTTCTCAGCTTTCAGTGCTGATATATACTCAACTTCTTTAAAAGTACATGCCACTGGAATATCAAGCTCCAGAAGATTCTTTCCTTCTGTGCTCTCAGCAGGCACTTAGGTAGCTGGTATTTTACATTAATTTAAACTGATAAAAGACAAGAAAATTAAAAGCCCCCTTTAGTTGGTCAGGCTGCATAGTAGGTAAGAAAATTAAAGGGTGAAACTCCTTTGCTGCCTCAATACAGAAAGAAAAGAAAAAAATAAAGCAACACGATTCCCAGAAAATAAGATCTAGCTGGTAAGGTGATGAGGAAAAGGGGCAGAATGAAATAACTGGGCAAATTATAAAAGTCACTTCTCTAGAAAGAAACAGACTCTACATAAATCTAAACATTAAAGGTTGACATTTTGATGCATGCCACAGGAAGTCTTGAACAAGCAGTGATAAATCCAGTACATTAGCTTCAAGTACTCTGTATTTCAGATAAGCACTGAAACCATATTTTAATTAATCTGCCATACCATTAGCAAAAGCTCTCTCAAAGCTCTAAGTGCATGAGATGATCATCAGGGTTAAAGTTAATTGCCACGGTTAACACAAGCAAATCTAATTTGGCTCTCTGCAAGAGAGGAACTAAATTAACAATGAAGCAACTGAGCCAATTTTACAAATTTGAGTTGCAACAATTAAAAACATAAAGAAAATGTATTTTTGGTGACATAGTCACATCATTTTAACTCTTTTAGTACACCTTTGTATATGCTACAAGTAGCAAGTTAAGAAAATATGAATAAACACCACAGATGGCATACATTCACCCGAGTTTCAATTAAATTAGTTGAATACCCAGGAAAATCCTGAAAATTAGAAGATTCAGAAGAAAAATAAGCTAGGAGTTTCCTCATAGAATGGTGAAAAAACCACACTTAACCACACTCAACACATAGTTAGTATTTTGCATCAAATAAAAGATAGCTTTGCATAAACAACTGGTGAGGTCCAAATGCCGTATTGTTAATGTAAAATTATCTACAGAATATTAAAGTCTTATGTTCCAACACGGTGCTCTGCTAATATTAACCCTGTGGACAACTTGAGGTTCCTACTGTAGATCTCCCAAAACTATGAAACAGCCTTTAAGCCTAGGCAGAATTTCTTTCCTATTTAAACAGATGGACAACCCGTCTTAAAAGTGTAATTTTCATTTGGAATCAAAACATTCATTCTAACTGAATTATTATCCCTATACTCGTAAGATTTCACACATTGTCATACTGTTGTTTTGTATTGTCATACAAAAAACTCTGGCTTTCCTGCATTGCACTGTTCTTAACTGACTCACTGACACATTTAGATAAAGAGAACTTCAGATAAAATTGTTACCTACTACAGCATAAGTCTAGTGTCTTTAGGGCAAGAAAGGCACTGACTCCCAGTTCCTGTCTCAATTCCAGAATATTCCGTTTTGTAGAAAGCAAGGTGAAACTTTCCAGTGACTCTGACTTAAGGAAGGGAAAGCTTTGTGAAATCAACACAAATTTCAAAAGTGTAAATCCCAAACAAAATTTATTTGCATGTATGCAATTAAGCAACATAATTAATTTCTCCCTTTTTGTCATATACTTCTGGCTTAATGAATGTTGTATTCCATTTATCTCTTTATTAAGCATGTATCTACATAAAGGTCTGAAAAGTCTGAATATTATTTCCTATTTAACCTGTATGTGCCCCCAATCAACATAAATGACAAAACTGCTATATCAATTTAAAAGGTTTAAATAGTTGTATGCTTTAATTGTGCATTATTTTGGTGTATCTTGCCACAAAGACAGACATAACACATGCAGGTTTCCTTCTACAGAAGGAAAGCTTGCAGGATAGCAGCCCAATTCTATCATTATTCTATAAAAATCACTATTTTTACATAGTGATAGGAAAATATTTATCACTTACCATTTAATATTTCATTTTTAAAATGTTTTAAGCAACGTATGTGTGATTCTCTGCGCAGCCACCTTCCAGTGTCAATAAAGTTTTAAACAAGGTTAAGTTTCAGGGTTGTAGGCAAACAAGCAGCAACATGGGAATTCAAATTAAAAAAAAAAGAAGCAAAATGACAAAATTGTTTTTCTTTGCAAAAGCAAGCAAGAAACTCACCACAGAAACAAGTGTAAGTTTTAGGAACTTGTGTAGAAGCATTCTGACAAGCTGGACATCTCCAACCACTATTACCATCTGTAGATAAAATAATTAAAAGAAAAATGACTTGGAAGTAAATAAAGGAGCTAATTTGCAAACTCAGAATAAGTGCTCTTGCCTTGTTTCTTAGCACAGCTGCAACCAAACTATGTTTTTCCATTTACACAGAAGGGGTGAGAAAGCAGGTTAATAAAAATGCATTTTATACAGTATCAAGATAAACACAGCAGTGGTACTTCACCTGACCAGGCTCCCACTTTATACAGAGGCAAGAACAAATTTTAAAATTGCACTTTTTCTATTACCATGTACCCTGTTATAAGACATTCTACTAGAATATAGACAGTCTTCACCATATCTAAAGATGTGAGGAAAAAAGTGCTAGTGTTGGAAATTGGTGAGGAAAATATAATTACCTACAGTCTTATAAGCACCACCTGTATTTTCCTTTTCATTATCCTCTGATGTTACGAGTTTACGTGTCTTGTAGAAGACAAATTTAGTATTGCTTCATGTCCAGAATAAATTAGTGCTATATAAAACAAAATAATCTACTTTAATTTAAAGGTGACAATACCTAGCTATTGACTAGGACACTATTCTTCAAGTTGGTATTTTATTAAATAGTAGTTTTCTTGCTTCTGCATTTCAGGAGGGTGTTGGTTAGCAGTAAAGGAAGAACTTCAGTGTAAGGAAAGCGACATTCATGAAGATGTTTCCCAAATTCAGTACATATCTAGCTATGAAGAATACCAGTGAGAGAGCACTATTGAACACAAAGAGGGCAGGGAGGAGAGAGAGATATACTTTTTTTAATATATATAAAAAAGTAAAAATATGTAAATATAAACTTATTAGCTCTTCCTGTCTCTCTTAACCAATCAATTCAGAACCGGTAAATTAATAAAGCTGTTATTTTAGAACTGTTCTTCACGATTAAGAAATCCGACCAAGATTTATGATAATTTCATGTTATGAATGCAGGAGGGATTGCAAACAGGAAACCGTATGTGTGACAAGACAACTGCACTGCAGTGACAGGCACACCTAGGTTCACTATCAATTGGATTGGAGACTTCTTACGTTAACCATCATAATGCACAATGGTAATGATTTTCACAAACTCGAATTGATCCAGATTATAGACTGCCTTGACACTCTTGAAATGCGAATCTAAAGCATGTCTATTCTTTTCAATACTTGGTGCCTATTCATACCCCTCATTATCCTGGCTCATATCACTGTGCCACCAAGACTGCTGCAGAAAGCTGTATAATTATGGGCTGAACAGCTGTAGGACAGCAGCACAAGGAGTATACTCTCATATCCATGCTCAAGACCAACCTGCATTTCCTGACCAAGATTATTTTTTTTATTTGACTGCTGCAAACTGAAGCGTCTCAGAAAGCAGCATCTCAGAGAAAAGTGTTAAAAGCTACAAGTAAAAACTGGCAGCAGGGGACTGAAAGGGGTATCTGCTGACAAAGCTGTCAGTACCTTACGTGGCTCCTCCCGAAGCTAGCATACTAAACCCTAAGGGATTCCCTATAGGATTACTTTGTACAGTATACTTAACTATTACATTAACAACATAATTTCTTTGTTATTCCATGTTATGTTTTTCAAAAGCTGTGAAGGTAAACCTATCATCAAAGCTTCAGAAGGCCAGCAGAAGGCATCTCCTGTCAACATCTCTCCTGGAGCAGGATGCCTAGTCCTCTACAAGCAACAGTTTCTCTAGAGTATAGTGAAGGTCCTTGTAAAATAGGAACCTTTTACCAAGCAAAACAGTCTTTCAAGATATATTTTGTTGTTCTTAATCATTGATTATCCTTTGCTCCTCTAAGACATAACTACATGCACATGGGTCCACCCACAAGGAACATGCATGGTTGCTTTCCTCCAAAAATAAAAGTACTAAGTTTTCTTCCTGGATTCAAATGCAATTACAGTAGGATGACTCCTGACATCCACACTTGTAAGGAGTGGTCCTGTAACCACTCCTTACAAATCCTGATTACTGAAGAAAGTGAGAATGAGGATGACCCTACAGAATCCCTACAGAATGAATATTCCACTCTCATGAATCTTCTCATGAATAGGAGCGAAGTAGGCAGAATTCCAACCAAAGACACCAAAAGGACACATGTCCAAGCAAAATCAACACACCTCACTCATGTTTACTAGAGATTGTTTTAGTATTTGCTATCCTCTCCCTCCTTCTGGGATAAAAAGATTCCTTACTTGTAATTATTTACCAAAATTTTTTCTATACACTTTCATATTGCAAGCGTCCCTCTCCGTAGCACTTTCAGCCACAAAAATCTTTATCTGCGGTAGCATGCCCAGAATCCTGCCCCTTCCTATTGCATACCTGTTGTCATAAAGGCACAGTGAATGATTTCCTCAGCTGCCAGAATCCTAAAGGATTAAAGGGCTCAAAAGAACCTTGAGTAAGAAGAGCTGGGAATTACATATACCGACAACAGATCTTTATGTGTAGTTTCAAGCAAGCAACTTTCGTCTTTACATGCTTGCTTAGATGAGTCACAGGTGATTACATAAGAAAGGATCCAAACACATCTGCTGGAATAGAGAGTGAATGCTAAAGGGCTACGTTTCCAAAGGCAGCAGTACACCAGCAATTTTCAACATATATACAATGCTAGGTACATAAAAAGAACTCCAAACAGAAGATTTTGGTCACTTCAACTGTAGTAGAATATACTGGAATCAACACTGGCAGTTTCATATTACCATTTCTAAAAGGTCTTACGCAGTTCTCCAATAAGATAATCTGTATCAGAATAAATTATTGCTTTGACTTCTCAGCTAGACACAATCAAAAGCTTTTGTCCCAGTAACAAAAAAGTGACAACATTTGTGTAATATCCAAGGCACATAGAATGGCTTCAGCCCTTTAACATCATGGCTTAAGGAAAAAAAAAAAAAGGAAAAAAGAAAAAAGAAAAAAAAGGCAAGTAGATACTGACTACTGAAACTCAGAAGCCATCTTAGACGCCAATATTGGATTGGTACAGACCACTAGCTCATCTGGAAGTAGAGGGCAGGGGCAGCAGAGGGAGCAGAATAGAAAGGGACAGTTGTAATAACTCAAATATCTCCAATCCTTCCAGCCAAAATGAAAATACCAGTAAAACTACCTTCCTGCAAAGAAGGGAGCAAATGGCTTAAACTTTTGTTCCATCAATGTAAGGGCACAAACACCATTGAAGCATCAGCTTTTAAAAGAAGTAGAAGAAGGAAGGGGGCAAGAGACAACAATTTCCCCTTTATAAACATAACAAAGTGGAAGATCTTGTGTGCAATGCAGGTATTTTTGTCAGATTGACAAAACAGCTGTGCAATATCTAAAGGTCACATTCCTCCAAAACATAATTCAAAATGTTAGTAAAAATGCTTGCTAAGGAGAAAGTTATGTTCTTCCTTATAGGAAAGAATCTTTCCACATGATGGCAAAGTGATGCCTAGCAGAGCTCCTCCTCTTGATCAGGACATCTCTAATACACGATGAAAATCCATTCTCGAGTTCTGAGTGCCGCTGACAGTCTACATTGTAGAAATACTGAACATTGGATGCCAATCACAAGCCTAAGGTAAGCAGACCAAGAATAGAGCAATGCCCTATGACTCCCCACATAAAATCAGGAGATTCTTTCACCTGGCTTGACCAAAATAAAAGTTAGTTTTCAGATGATTGTCAAGACAACAGAAGGCAAAAGAAGTCTCTGAGGGAAGACACCTTCAGTAAAACACATCTGAAAGAGTCCCTGAGAAGAGAGATACTGTAGGGTGCGAGAAGACTTTGTTATGGTAACCTAGGATAGTTCTTTGCTTCTTCCCACCCAAGTATGTAGAGTCCCAAACACGTTTTATCTCATTCACATGGTAACCCAGGATAATTCACTTCCCACCCTCATCTGCACCCACCTTTGCATGGGTGCCAACCTGACAGCCAGCTGAAGATCTCGGAATTCAGACAACAGCACCTGCATTACATCAGCGAGTTCACTAATGAGCAGAACTGGATATTGCATGTATACGATATGTTAATTGGCACAAGTTTTATTATCCATCCCTGTGGTGTATTCCTCTGAGCTTCACTCCCGAGCAGGGTTCCGTTGCATTGGGTCCCCATTTGATTAGCACTGGTGTCCTGGGGCTCCCACCGTGGTAATGCTATGCTTTCATTAAAGCCAAAGTTTTCACTTGCTGAGCGTTGTGCCTTGTCCCTGAGGGATCCGCACCTGCTTTTCCCTCGTAACAGATACCTATTACTATTGATCTGGAAGATGGAACTATGTGAGAAGATAGCATCCTTGGTGGGGTATCTACTTCATCCAAGTATTCAGGATTTCTCTGATACAATGCTGTGATCACAAAAAATTGTGAGAAATTATGTACGCATACATACTTTCAGCCTCCTACTATGTGTCATAGAAATAAGAGCTGCTGTAAGGCCCCAAATGGAGGGACATTCTCACTGAAACATTCAGTTGCTGCAAAAACATAAAAGAATGAACATTCAAAACTGATCTTATGAACAAAATATTCTCACTAGGCTGGAAGTGAAATGTAGCAGTGGAAAGTTTGGGTGCTGAGATTAGATAGGATTTCCTGGAATTGATTATAACATTTGCAGAATCGAGCAGATCTAAAGTAAATTGTGTCCAGAAAAAAAACCAGGTTTTTTCTTCTTCTTCAAGAAAAACAGCGAATTATTGAGTTAGGTAGATTACAGTGTCCTATTTCTCTTCTGGTAGACAATAATTACTGCCAGGGTTCTAGTGAATTCCTCAACATTGTACAAAGCCTGAAAAGTAGAATCTATACTGAAACAACATACCATAAAACAAATACACTCTGAAGTACAAGTTCTAATCAAGATAGGGTAGCAGGGCCTTGCAGGTCAAGAAATACGCATCAGTGTCCTTACTGGAGCTATGGAATCAGTTCTACTGAGGCTACCCCCTTTAATTTCAATTAATGATTAGCTCAAGTTCTCTCATAACAGGATACAGTAACGTACTTAGTCCACAAATTCCTACAAGAAAAGCAAATGGCCAAAAGATATGGCTATTTGAAATGCTGTCAGGATTCAAGCATTTAAGGTCACCGTCTTGACAGAGAAGCAAAACCTCCCTTACACAAGCAGATACTCTTTTGATCAAGCAGTAAGCTGTTTCAGGGAGATAAATTAGCTCCAAAGAAGGTGACAGAAAAACAGCTAGGAGATAAAGGTTCTCAGCAGTCACTCTCAGTTTGGCTTAGGATCTCAGTCTTACCCAAAAAACTGTTCCCTTCTCAAACATTCCAATGCTTTTATGTTTCAAATCTTGTGCTGACATTTGTAACTTCCTTTCTACTGTCAGTATGAAGCATGACAAGCCCTACCCAGAAGTCTGTCTATGCATCTTAAGAAATCCAAGAACTTTGCAACCAATCCTTTCTGCAAAAGATTTACAGTCTGTAAGAACTTCTCTGAAACATTTGGAAGTAGCTGACAGACTATATTTCCTCAGTCTGCCCAGAGAGAGACAGAAGGACACGTGGAGAATGGTAAATGCTACACAAGCAGGGTACAGAAAGTTAACCCTACTTCGAGATTAACATTACAGTCTTCAGAGTGTGTATACATCACACAACTGAACGCAGCAGAGAGGCTGCAATTCAGCCTTAACTTACACCAAAGCATTCAAAGGGCAGAATGTAGTGGTATAAGAGTTTCAAAAAGTGGTATAATACAAAGAATCTGAAACAGTTTAAGCTAATGACAAAGGCAGAAGCTTTCTGTCTTCTCTGAATTTCATTTCACTACATGGCATTGGTGACAGATTTCAGGAGTACTTTATCTGAGAACAGAACTAAGAAGTGGTTCAGTAAAAGCAGACAACTAATGCTTGGAGTGCTTCTTCTGTCTGACTGCTCAATCAAGCACAGATGAGAGAATATGAGACGTTTCTTGGTGTGTAAAGACACAGCCACAGGGCTTTGAATCTTGATACGCTGATTTCATTGAGTGATCTTATACTTATGTATCCAAACCTGAAAACTAGTTTTAGCTAGAATACTAGAAAGAATCAAAACAGTTAGGAGGATTATACAAAGCATCCAAAGAACCCTAAAAAAACTCATTTTTTATTTAAAACTTGCTTTGTTTACAGCTTACTGGTTACCTTAGACAGTATTTATAAGTAGTTTTCCAACGTAAGAACACATGAACTTTGCTATTATATATATTTGAGAGAGAAAGTGTGTGCAAGAGAGAATACCGACCTTCAGCTTGTGAAGCTGGTGATCGTGCCCACTTCTTAATGCAATTCAGGTGGAATACATGGTAACAATTCTGACAGCTCCACACTGGGGCTACTATTCGGACCACCTCACAGCATACCATGCACTCATACTTCTCTGTGGTCAGCTGTTCAATCAACGACCCTGCAAATAAAATATATTACTTATGCATGAAACACCAGCTAGCTGAGAAACAAAATTCAAATGAAATTCCAAGATTTCATTTAAATTATAACAGAACTTATTTCTCCTGTGTGGCTGTAAGTAAGGTATTAGTTTACACCAGGAAGATTCCAGTTTGATGCTTGGTATGCATTTCTCTAGTTTCAGAGCAGGAAGAGGGAGTATGAGAGTCCCATAAAAGTGGCAACAATAATTCCTGTTGATGAATAGCAATCATTCTGATCTTACAAATTAGTTAATAGTTTTAAGCTTGGCAGAAGTTTGAGATTTTACTCATCATTTTATATGGGAAATTCATCTTCACATAAAGTTTAAACCAAAAAACTTAAAGCTCTTAACTACAGAAGTTTCAGCCAAAATTAAATTTAATTCCCATCCTCGAGTATTCCTGGAAGACCACACTAGAAATAGTAACAGTGAAGTACCTGAATTACGGAAATAAGCCTGTCAAACTGACCACTTTAGGAGTAGAATTACTGGGAAACAATAGTCAAAATACAGGGCCTTTTGAGCCATATGAAAGAACATGCATAAGTACTTTGAAAATAAAGCAACTCCATATTGGAAGACAAAACAGCCTGAAAATGTAGTTAGATGTGCAATCATACAAAGGCACCACATAACTTCAGTTCTGCCAGATTAACTCTCCCATCAAGGTAAGGCTACCAAATGCACCTTAGAAATGCTATTTTATGTATGCCCACAGAATTTTAAAGTATCTTAATTACAAGTGTAAAGTGTAAAAATGTACCATTTTTACATGGTGCCAATACAAAGGAAGTTAGAACTCATAATGAAGGACAAAAATATGAAAATACGCATAAAAATGACTATCAATTAAAAATGTGCTTGTACCACACATGACTGAAAGCAAGCTCACAAATGTCTGGAAACTTGGAAGTATTAACACTGTTCGCCCTCCTTAATAGGATATAAGCACTTTCAAGCTTCTTTTCCAGCCCTCCTGCATCAAGCACCACAAGATTTAGAATTAACAGTCATTTCTGCTTTCAGTACCCCATGAATACTACCTGCTGCAAAGAAAGCATTCCCAACTAAAACATACTTCTTTTCTCCAGAAGACTAAAGCTATACCATACTCAGAAAGGATAGCTGTCCCATAAATAGTTAAAAAGCACAGACTCAGTCCCCTGAAAATAGTGGCAGATGCTGTTTCCAAAACAGCTCCCAACTAAAGCATGCAAAGAAAGACTGCCATTTTGGAGGGGGAAGGTCCTTAAGTTCCCTGGAAAAGATTACTACTTCTCTTCCTGCTTATTGCATATGATGTTTTTCATTTAATAAAATAATGCTGGGAGAAAGAGTGAGGTATCTTTAATTTTATGATCCAAGTAGAACCCAGGAGCATGAAAGTTAATGTATCCTTAGAAAGGATCAAGGGGGATCTTGATCCTTGAGCTTCTCCTAAGGGAACAAAGTTTCTGACTGGAGCTATCTTATGCTTCCCGATTATGCTACTACCTTCTCAGCTCTGAAAGAGAAGAGACACTGAGAAGCAAAATCTTTAAAAGATTCAATACCACTGTTAAGATAACAGGAACTAGTCTACCCGGTTCTATCATTCTGAGCAGCAGGAAAACAGGTTGAGATGCTCTGTAAAAACCAACTGAATATAATTCTTAGTGTTTGTACAACTGGAAAGGGACCAAATAAAAAAAAAAAAGGAAAATTTCTCTCCTTATTGTCTCTGAAAGAAAATAGGACTTCTGCTGGATGCTATGAATAACATGAGACTATCTTCTTAAGCTTATCTAAAACAGTAAGAAAAAGCTACCTAGGTTGTCTAGAAACAGAAACCAGCACCGTGGTATTGAAGAGATTCAGCTGATTTCCATTTAATGTTTTAAGTCCCTAATGGTATGAGTTGGCACAAAATTCACTCAGACAGTCAAAACCTGTGGGTCTGCTTTACACTGTCAACGGCACATGTTTCTATTCTCAACTTCCAAAAATAGTATCCAGAGACTTTCTATATTTCTAATTACCTTTTGAGACTACCATTGCAAAAAAAGAACGAAAAATCCAGTTAGGAGCAGAATACAGTTACTCTATCTGGCATTTTCCTACTTCTACATAAAACATGAGAAAACTTATTCTGCATAAATCAGTTTTAGGACTGTCCCTCTCAAGTCCCATTGTTCAGAATTTTACTCCCCGCTCCCACAACATACATGTTTTAACATGGTGCCTGACCAGGCCGTCATTTGCAGTTTGGTACTAAAACAAAAAAAACTTTAAACAAAATCTGTTCTACCCTAGTAAACATACAGAACACCTCCCCACCCAGAAACCACACATTTACATTTAATTCTAGCCTCTCAAACTAATACTGATCTAATGTGAAATAATAAGCCTCTTCAGCTAGTCAAATGTGAAGGCAGGTTAAATTATTCAAGATCCTATCTTTAACAGAGGAGTACAGGACAGTCTAGAAAGCTTACCTGTATGAGTTTCTTTGTTTTTTGGTACATCACTTTGCTTTTTCCAGTACTGGGTCCAGCTGAAATGAAGTGCAGGTGCCTGATCCCCCTTTAGCAGGAACTTTCTTCCATTACATCTGACAGAATCAGACAATGGATGCCTGATTTCACTGGTCAAGTTTTCATCATTTTTGTGAACAGAGAGTTCTTTCTTCCTTTCATTTTTATCTTTCGGAGTATATGCAAGAGAAGACTTCTTACCTACTTTTGTATTTTTACTACGGTGAGAATCATGTCTTTTCTGACACTCCTTTTCTACTGGGGGTTTATTCCACACAGGCTTCCGGGGATATCTTTTGTTTACATAATTGTAGCCTTTCTGCTCATCCCCACTACCAACAGGTGCATCACAGAATGCCTTTCCAACAGATGATTCTGAAGAGTCAGACTGAGTCAAATCCAAAGATGGAACGTTTTCAAACAGCTCTACTTTCTGTTTAGAGCTCACTCTCTTTTCCCGGTCAGGTACTTGCTTTCCCTTCTCCTTGAAACCTCTTCCAGATGCATGCATCAGATGTGTTTTCTTTGGCTTTGCTCCTCTACTATCTGCATTAGGTACCTCCCTGTCACTCTCTGAGGAGAGAAAGTCATTGTACCCTCTAGGAGGTGCTCTTCTCCCAGGTACTATTGCAGCATCTGAAATTCCTGGACCTGCAGCAGCATCAGCAGTACCTTGCCTTATTTTACTTCTAGTACATGTGCTATCGTTTCTTGATCTGTGCCACCTCTGGCTTTGCAAGTTGCGATTCTTCAAACTTTTACTGGTACCAAAATATTGGTGGAAGTCTTCAGAATTCCCATAGTGACTTTCTGGATTACAAAAGCCATGATGCTTTGTGGAAGAGCTTTCATAATCCGTACCTCTTTCAGAAGACAGACTAGGAAATGGTATTCTTCTATTCTGATTACTGTTGGAGTCTTTCCTAACTTTATTTACCCAGTTTATATCTGTAGGTTGTCTTTCTCCTGGAATGGAATCGGCAGCATCAGTATTGAAATTCAATGCACCTAAAAAGTGAAAAAAAATAAAAACACACGTATAAGACTATTAAATAGTAAACGTTTCTTTTCTGTAAAATTACCATACATGCAAAGGCCCAGAAGTTCAATCAATCCCACACTTGACAGAACAACTGTCAAGTTTCCAGAAACTAGAGTTGAATCATACAGTGCTTCGTGGAAGCTACCTTCTCTTGTCATCCTTAGAGAAAGACTGTGATGACCCAGAGTTAAGATAAGAATATAAAAATGTAAGGGGAAGAAAAACATTTGAAGTAGCACTCTACGTACACAAGACATGCAAGTGTGATAATCGGTGTTTAAAGGTTTGAGTAGCTGCAGTGTCTGTTGCTGGGGTTGGAGTAGCCACACTGCCTGTCACCAGGGTTGCAGTAGCCGCAGTGCCTGTTGCCAGTGTTTGAGTAGCTGCAGTGCCTGTTGCCAGGGTTGGAGTAGACACAGTGCCTGTCACGGAGGTTGGAGTAGACACAGTATTCTTAAATAGTTGTTTAACCCTAACCAAGACATGACACATTCAGGAGACACAACAATAGGAACATGCTGGTTTGAACATCCCAAGGATATTCAAAATTCTCAAGAGCTATTGGAGTTAGCCTGGAGGAGAAGGGGAAGATGGAGGAAGGCATCTCCCCCGTAGGTTGGCTCTCTGAGGAGAAAAAATGAAAAGTCTAATTATTAATAATTTCTGATAGATGGCCCCCAAAGTACAGAGGTGATGGCAATGCTGAGTACAAATACGAGACTGATCTCACAACCAATAATTTTATCATACCATAAGTCAGTGTTACACAGTACAGCAAAGCGATAACCTTAATCCACCTCCCAGAGGTGATAAACAGCACATAAATATTGATAAACAGTATATATGGCAAGTAAGGTGTTACATAACACAGCTCTGAGAGCAAATACAACAACTTAGAAAGCAAATAAATCAACATTGTAACCAGCAACTACTAAACAAATATAATGAATGCTTGTAACAAATTTGTTTTAACCCACTCTGGTCAGATCTGTCGTTATCTCAACCCTTCGTGTTGGGCACCAAAAAGGACGGTTGTGGTTTAACCCCAGTCGGCAACTAAGTACCACACAGCCGCGTGCTCACCCTCCTCTCCCCTGGTGGGATGGGGGAGAGAATCGGGAAAAAAAAGTAAAACCCATGGGTTGAGATAAAGACAGTTTAATAGGACAGAAAAGGAAGGGAAAATAATAATAATAATAATAATAATAATAATAATAATAATAATAATAATACAATCCCACACTTGACAGAACAACTGTCAAGTTTCCAGAAACTAGAGTTGAATCATACAGTGCTTCGTGGAAGCTACCTTCTCTTGTCATCCTTAGAGAAAGACTGTGATGACCCAGAGTTAAGATAAGAATATAAAAATGTAAGGGGAAGAAAAACATTTGAAGTAGCACTCTACGTACACAAGACATGCAAGTGTGATAATCGGTGTTTAACATGTGCTGAAGTTTTTCCTAAGCATGTTTGCATACACACATGAACCTGAAGAAAAAGGGGTCCTTTAAATACAATGTCTACATCCGATATTTTAGTATTACACAGAACTTTGAATATAAATTAAAATCCATCAGCCAAAGAGTAGCAATAGTAAATGCTTGCATGAACTGTGATTACACTGTTCTACATACAGACATACTAAATGGTAGAGGGACAACCCAGGGCAGCTTTGCAAAATTATTTTTCTGTTATGAGGCCATCAACATGAACCATACTTCTACTTGAGAGGTGTCCTGTCATTTCTGTGTCTCTAGATAAAAGAAAGAGGCACATGTTAGAAATCCTATGTTGCTCAATTTTGTATCACATCGTGCCAGCGGGGCCTGCCTGCAACAGGAATTATCAGGTGAATATCAGGGACAGTTTAATGGGCTGTGGCAGATTGGTTAAGTCTTACACAGTAGTGTAAAAAAAGAGAAGAGGTTTCTAAAATTTCATGGAGGTAATGCCCATTTTACAGGTTAGGTAGGTTACCTCTGACGGAAGGGCAGGTGCAGTTTATTCCTGGTTCAGGACAACTGAAAGAAAGAATCAAGCACTTGGGCTATGAACATGAGACTCTCCAAAAGGCCAATGCTATCTGGGTCTCTCAACTACTATTATTTTAACTTTTCAATAAAGGTTGTGGAAATTAACATTTTGAAGGGAAGAATAAACCAGAACACTTTGAAACATTAACATTTTTTTTCCAGTGAATTTCATCTACTTTCAAATGAAAGATTTTTTTTTTTTTTTTTTAAAAACTCTAGGAATGGTCATAACTACTATGAGGGATTTGCTGGCAAAGAAAAATGTAACATACAACTTTGTGGAAGTGAAGCTTTAAGCCTACTGAAAGTTAGGAATTTAAAATTACATTTAAGGATGTTCTTAACCACACAACCTAATTCATACTTGTTTTCTAAGAGAGACTCAGCTGAAATAATTTTGTCTTTTTGTCTTTGCAAAGACAATATATATATAATTATATATTATATTATTTCTATTTACTCTATTAATATATATTAATATTATTATATGCTATATAATTTTATATGTTATTATTACACTAGATACAAATGGCAAATACGAAGTGTTTGGTGGGGGTTTTTTTTACACTGTAATACTAACCTGATTTTGAGACAACAGAATCAGAACACCAGACAGAGGTCTTTGAAAACAACTGGGGATTGAGTTAAGAATCAATCTTAACTCAAGAGGAGGGGAAGTGGAGAGGGAGGCACTGATCTCTTCTCCCTGGTACCCAGTGCCAGGACGCATGAGAATGCCTCAAAGCTGCATCTGTCAGGGGAGGTTCAGACTTGACATTAGGAAGCATTTCTTTACTGAGAGGGTGGTCAAACCTTGGAACAGGCTTCCTGGAGAGGTGGTCAATGTCCCAAGCCTGTCAGTGTCTAAGAGGCTTTTGGACAATGCTCTTAATAACATGCTTTAACTTTTGGTCAGCCCTGAAGTGGTCAGGCAGTTGGACTCGATCTTTGTAGGTCCCTTCCAGCTGAACTATACTATTCTATAATTAGGACTGCAGACCCTAGTAGGTACAAAATATTAGGCTTATACATCTGAAAGAATCTGGACTGCAAGCAGCTTCCGTGGAAACATTCTGTTTTTTCTCATCTTAGCACATGTATCCTGTGTAAAGAACTCAAAATATAAAAGTTCTCCTTTTTACTTTCTACAACTACACTTACTTTGTTTTTCCAGTGTTTTGCCAGTTTCTTTTCTATCACTAATAAAGAAGACTACAAACATAAATTGTAGTCCTTTTACATTATAATGTAAACAGCAGTCATTCAGTATAGATTACTTAAAATAGTTTCACATATTTTGATTTGAAGACAGAATGCAATCCTATAATTACATACAAACTTTATTTGAAACAACCCACTTTATTAGTTGATTTCTTTTGTACGCCTTAAAATTTAAAGTCCAATGGATAGATATAACAAGGTATATCAAACGGCTTTTTAACGTTTAATAAAAACATGTTTTTCAAAAAGATCACACAGCTTGCTTCTAAAAAGTATATTCTATTATTAAAGACCATTGTTTCTTCGGTTATGAGATGTGGTATGTAAAATGTATGCATGAATTATAAACAAATTGCTGCAGAGGGCTTTCAAGTGAATGCAGTAAATAAGCTTGAGCAAGTATGTTTTGTAGATCAGTAAAACATACTATCTTATACTGACATAAAAAACATGCTGGACATGGCTTTAAAATGCTGGTTTTCTAAAATACAGTCAAATCGACTTTTGAGCATGGCCTCCAAGAAGCATAACCAGGACTTGAAATGTAGCTGTGGAAGTGATATTTTTGAAAGCACTTTCCAAATTATCTATTAAGTTTGAAGAAACAGATGGGAAACCAGGATCCAGATATTTAAAAGCACCTCCAAAACATGAATAATTCATTAGGACTTTTTATATCACCCATGAATAGGATTCCTATTCTTACTGTCAGCTTTTACATTATAAAAAAATTCCAAAGAAGTGGAAAATTCTACTAAAACTGATTTCTGTCTGCCAAGACAAGAAACAGCAAAATACATATACAAGTGTAATAATCAGTAGCTAACACTGGCTCAAGTTTCCTGACATGTTTACATGTACATACACAAAAATCTCAAGAAAAAGGCAACCTCGAAAGCTAGATTCCAGCCTGTGCTTCTATAAAATAAACAAAGAAAATCCCAGTACCTTTAGAAACAACCTCTACATTGCAGATGTATATCCCTAAGAGCTTGAATGTGAATTAAAACCAAGCATATGAAAGTCATATGGTTTCATGCCTGTTCTGCCATAACATTACACATTACACCGCTTCAGCATTAACTGTGGACAGAGCCAGAATGCCCTGGCAAAGTTAGGTAATCTGTGTGAACTATCCTTCAGAAAAATAATTTGATAAGGACACTTAAAAATATGAAGCAAATTAGTAAGTACACGTCTCATTTTAATAAGTACAAGCTCTGCTTCAAAAGCAGAGCTTATTTTGGGGACCAGTACAGCCATCAAACTTAATAACTTGGGTACTTTTTTTATGAAGACTTCAATAATGACATTTGAAGGTGCCACTTAAAGACATCATACCTAAGTGGTATTTCTTAGCACAGTTTCAGCAAGCTAAATTCAATTCGATTTTGAAGAGTCATTAAACAATGTACTTTAATTAGGCAGAGACTGTATGAAGTTGCTAATTAAGAATAAACATAAGAAAAAAAAATATATTGAAGAAGTCCAGCCAGAAAAAAAAAAAAAAAAAATGTGTACAAGAGTCCACAGGGTAGTCCCTTAGGTGTCAGAGGTAGTACTTCTCCATTCTTAAATGAGTTCAGCTCTGTCTCCTAGATAGGAAGAACCCTGATTTTCCTTCTGAAGCTTCAGATCAATACAAAACTGGAACTAAACAATCAACACTGATTAGTACCAGCCTTTCTGACTGGACAACCATAGTTTTTAATTGACCACTTCTTATTGAGATACTCATAAATTCAACCACATATAGCGTCACCTTGAGTACTGTGTGCAGTTTTGGGCTCCACAATAGAAGAAAGATATAAAAATACCAGAATGTGTCCAAAGGAGGGCAACAAAGATGGTGAAAGGACTAGAGGACATGACTTACAAGGAGCAGCTGAGGATACTAGCTT